ACAATAACAGTAATGCTAAAATATTCATTTCATAACTTTTTTTCAGGGTCATTTAAGGTCATACGAACTCGCGACAGAATAGAAAAGTAAACAACTAAATTGAAAAATATCAACAGGTAAAACCTCATGTTAATAACATTTGCCTAAGACTACGACAAAATAAAGATGCAATGTTATATTATTCACTTTTATGGAAGCAACTAGGATGGGTTAGCAAAAAACCATTCAAATAAGATATATATATATCTCCATGCCTATCCCTCCGAAGGTCCTTAATTAAAAGTCCAAATCGAAACAGTTTCGTGTTTCCAGTTAATGTAAAGTCAAAATATTAATAAGTGCTTAACTTAGATTATGCGATATAAAACCGAGTTGGTCATGTTTGAAGACTCTTATATGTTTTAGAAAATACCTAACAACAAATACTATCATTATAGTTGTTTGTGACTGGCTGAATTTTAGCTTTAAATATTGAAGCGTAAGATCGTAAATTTGAAGGTTTAATTAAGCATTCTACTTGATCAATAAGTATTATCAATCTAAGCTTCACCACATCTCATTTAAACGAAACGTGTCAAATAATTGATTGACAAACATATTAATTGCTATATGAAATTGTTATCACTGTTGATTGCCTGTGATTATATTGGCACTCAAGTAAAACATAAGAACTGACCGAATAACATAAAGTTCTGTGATTCTAAGCGAATTTTCTGTTAGGTAAAATAACTAGATGAGGATTTGCATAATGGATCAGTTCAGTATCTTTTGTTTTGAGTCATTGTGAATGAAAATTAGCTCAGTAGTTTGCAAAATCAAAAGTGGCCACTACCAAAGCCTAACCAACAATAAATTTGAAGATAATCAGCCCATAGCACTTAATGACATCGAACATTATAGTCGACATAAGATCAATGAATGGTTTCCGATGAAAAATGTATCGAAAAAATCAAAACAGACAACCACAGAAAATATAGTGTAATAAATCTATCAAGACAATCATTATCCAAAACAGAATACCATATTCTCTGAAAAGGATTGTGCTGGAACGTTAGGAATCCCACGAAAACAGAATCTATGGGTGGTTTGAATAACCACTCAAGACACCGGGATTAAACGAGTTAGTTCAAAAGGAAATACATAGAACCACGGTACGTCTACTTATAAGTTAAGCGCTCAGGAGCAAAGAGCACTAGGAACAAATCTTTCTACAAAATTCATATCACAACTGCTGAGCAACGAAAAACAGTTATGTTAGCACATAGATTTGTTCCTTGTAACGTTTTCGATTGGAAGGTCAAATATACAGATAGAATAAATAACTCCTATAGGACTGATTGTATCACGGCTCTATTCAACAGCAATAATTCAAAGACTCGAAGTTACAGCTCTATCAAGAGCAAAATTAAATATCTGGATACCTTACATAGATCACATACTTGTTATTCCCAAGAAAGAAAACTGGAAATCGTTCATCAGCTCATCAGCGACATCGATGAAGTCGATTATGCAATGGGAAAATCAGAAAAGTAAAAAAATCCGATTTCCGATATCTTCATTAGTACGACACATGAACTTTGGGAACATAAGAATATAAGGTGCCAAGCCATACAAACTAAATACTAAAATACGATAGCAATGATCCAACAGAGCATAAAAAACTGTAAATGGATATTATTCAAAAGGCGAAATTCATTATAGCATTGTCATTGTCCGAAAAGTTAAGGAAATTCATTTCATTTCAGTGTTCCGTAGAAAATGGCACGAAACTCAATTCAGGATCCCATCGTCAGATACACAGACATAAATCCGACTTGTCAAGCTATGTGGAAGAGATCAATCGAGCACGTGGGTCAGAAGTTAACCAAACAAAACGTGCAATGGGAACCCAAAGATATGAGGTGGAACCTAGGAACACAACCAGTAGGAAACAAGGCCATCCAATCAAACTTCTTTGAACCTTCTGAAATAATCAAAAAGCTGTCACATTTGAAGTAGGTCCTGAGGATGCACGTAATTCAAACCGACATCTCCGAAAATGTAACTCCACGGAAATGTAAGAAGTTGGTTTAAAAGCACTGCGCCGAAAACTATATATCAAGGAGCAACGTCATTGCTCTCATGTTATCTCTAATGCTGAAGAATGTTTAGGTCAAATAACAAATGAGTTCATGAAAAACAGATTGGTATGTTAGATGATCTGTTAATTTCCGCACAACACAACAGAAAATATGGCAGCCTTCAATACACTCTAGTACTCTTTATACGCCTGAACGTCGTTAAGGTGATTTTTTTTTAGGAACTTTTAGGAAAATAATTTTACTCTAGACCGAGGCTATACGATGTTCTTCTATTCTGTGGACATATATCCTGTCAAGCTGGGTATACATATAAACGAAACAGGACCGTAATATTTATATTTTAGTAACTCATTATTGTGAATATTTAAAAAATCTATGACCGTACGAAATAACCTTCAGCTAATTTGGTCACATAGATGTCTTAAATCTCGTTGGTGTAGACGAAAGGATTATGTAGTGACAGAAACAAATTTGTGCCGATAATACGCGAATCGACAATCAAAAATACTGCCACTCTGAACCTTAATGATCTATGGAATATCAGAAAACCGCCAGGTATATGAATGAGGAGCTAAAATCCAACTTCACATACATTTTTAGGTAACCTAAAACAATGAGAAATTCATTAAAGTTTTTGCTGATTGGCCTAGCAACATAGCAGGTTGCTTGATGACCTAAAATTTTGATTTTCAATTCGGTCTTTTTATCAGTGATATGTCCAGTAAATAAGGTTATTAAGCTACTTAATAACTTATACGGTGTCAGACTACTGCACCAAAGCACTGGTTACTAAAGGATTTTTATCGGAATGTAAGCCCATTGCATGTCGTGATGGCAGGACCGATATTTAATACTAGAAAGTTCGAGTTAAACCGGCCGACATAACTGAGTGAAGACATGATACGTGACGGACTGTAATGAACAGCGCTGATGGACAGCAAAGGTGATTACTCCTAGCATTTACTTATATCAAATTGGGCCACTGGAATAGGAATCATTATTTAAATGAATAATTTCCTCAATATACTTTACCAGCCAAAATTTTCGATTGAAAAATAGTTGAATGACCCATATTAACTAATACAAAATAAACCGAAACCTGAGATTAGAATGTTTTGTGTGCATCGATTTAAGACATAACTTATTAATATACACACAGGCCACTACTTTTAAAGAAACGAAGCAATTAAAGATGAGTGGGAATCTATATGTATAAAAACTATACCGAACAATTAAAAACATCACTTGACTGGTGAAAATATGGAAGGAATAGAAAATGTACTGTTAACAGGCTGGGGAATTCACCCTATTAGTGCTGTTATTCTACACAACCAGGTGAAGATAGTTTCTACAGGTAGTTAATTTCAGGAAACAATAATTTCCGCCTTAGTAACTTTATTTAAGTACTGGATTATGATAATATTCAGGCGATCAATCTTATTGCAAAGAATCTGTAAACGAACTGCAACATAATTGACGTATTATTTACAATAAATGTCAGCATATACTTAGTGAAACCTATTTTCAATGAACAAGTATATCACTATCTTTAGGGAATTTTATTACCATGTTTTGTACCCATATCATGGTAAGCGTTTTAATGCTTGTTAATCTCTAAGCAATGTGATTGGTAGTAACAGTAACATTATCGGTATCAGCAAGAAAATTGGGAATCGAAAAAAAGCGTCATTATGGATAATACACGTTTGTCATAAATTTATATTTAGAGAAATGAATTACAGATAAGTTTATTTTACTGGATGTGAATTAGAGACGCTCGCTTAATTTATTCATGGTCTAAACGTACTTCAAAGTAGTAACTGTCAGTTACTAGAAAATCATAAAATACGATCTTTTCTACGGACACTCAAACTATTTGGTGACAAAAGTACATTCCCAAAATAATTCAATTATTAATGGATCGTTGGTGTTTTTTCTAGAGATTTTAATGTCTTTCATTATTTTATTTAATTATTCAACATATTATTGCCCATTCAAAAGTCATCAGAAACTTGATCACGCTACTTTCATAGTGTTGTATTAATATGAACAAAGATCCGACATAAATTACCAAACAATAATGTCGCCGGACAGCAATCACAAATTATTGTAGCTGCATTTAAGTTACAAATCACACAAGATATGAGCATTTAACGTTGAAAGGATTCAGAATCCAGTAAGTTACTGAAGGCGAAATGGTAGCAATGATGAATATGATATTTTTATGAACAAACTATGGGATTTACCTGTAACTATGATGAATTCATTTTACGTTTTATGTAGTATATGGTTTCATACTTATGGTCAGTTACGAGTACTTTGTGTTCTTAACTATGCAACCCGGCAGGTAGCTTCTTAGAATTGCCTTAGATGGTAAGGCAGTAGTAACAAGCATACTTCTAAAAATTTAAGCTTTAGTTATCTGATCAGCTATAATCAGTAGCACACTTCCACATAGTGCATATTTTTGTTTTGCGACATTGTACAAGGAATTTGGGCCAAGCACACGACTAATATTCATAATTCGTAACGATATTGTATTCCGACGTTTTATTGAATAAAAAAGAAAAGATGAATCACAAACATTTGAGTTTTGCTTTATGAAAGCAAGCTACTTTCATGCAGTTGACAATAAATAAATTAAACGACGACATGCACTTCCCTTATCGTTTTCTTCAAAATAATAATGAGGACAGAATTTAATAACTAATACAAACATATGCAACCAGTTTACGTTAAGGCACATACACAGACACAATTGAACAAGAACCACAAACACACAAGCTCACATTTACTTTATTAATAGAGTATCACTACTCTGGAAGTAAGGTACCAGATATGCTGTCAATTTACATGTATTTAAATATCATAATTATCCTGTGCACAGAATAAAACGCGTGTGGTTTCTTGACATGGCTTTCATCTTCCTGAAAGATGAAGTAATTCGCTGGATTCTTTGGCATAATAAACAACATCTGGATCTGTATCAGAGCCCAGTTTTTCTAACGTTGGTTTAACAAATGTCTGTATAGTCGATGCATCCAGAAGATGGCCAATTTTGCCCAAAATTTGACCAACCTAGAATGTGCAGAAAAGGCATTGGAAAACTGTATCATTTTTAAAACTATATATTGCGGTAAACATCAATAAAACCTTATATACAATGTTTCATGTTGTGTTTAACCAGCATAAGATACTACATGTCTGACATTGATGAAAACGTATGATGTATATCAGGCTCAAGGCTTTAATTTTTAGATAAATTTGATAATAGTGACCTCGACTTGACATGTTTACAGCTTAGTCTCTACCTACGTTTCTCTGCATAAAGACAGAAATGGATAAAAGCATCAAAGACAGCTTAGTTATGCTTATAATAACACTCAAATGCTGAATACCACTCTTACTTTGAAACGAACATTTGGCACAGGATCTTGACCCAGTTGAACTATAGTAGGAAGTAAATGTTTCTGCAGTAATTCCGACCGACAAGACTGAGCTTCACCTAGCTGATGAAGGGATGCCAAACAAATCATTCGACGAAGATAGTTGGGATCGTAAGAGAGTTGTATGAGCTGTAAATTTTTTTAGAAAGTAATGTATAATTGTCAAATATTTGGTTGCTTGGCATCATTATATTAAAAATAACCGTGAAAAAGTTTGATGCATTTTGTGTGAATTTACTTGTGGTATTTTAATGAATTGATAAGCTAACCTTTACATAGACTTATAAATTTTCCCAGATATTTGAACAGAACGTATCTTCATGTTAGTCAGTATTTCATGTAGTGATTGTTTAACAAATAAAGTGACACTATGGTGACATACATGGAATAAAAGCAAAACAATTAAACTATGACTAGAATAACCTCCAAAACCAGATGATTTGTTACAGTTAAACACTTATCAACCGACAGAGACGATAATTTATTTCTGAAGAGCTAAACATATATTCTGATATCTGAATTCAACTACGTCAATAACAAATATCATTTGATACCAACACAAAAATTGTAACCCCATGAAGTAAGAAATCAGACCACTGTATCGAAAACTTTCGGCTCAAGAGTGTAGTAAAATAATCTGGGTCTAGAACACTGAAATGACCAAAACTAATTTAGCAGTGTATAGGTAATAATTGACTATAGTGTGACCTGCCAAATATCACCAAACCATTATTTAAATGCCTACATTTAATTTAGTTGCTTGTTTACTTACCAGTGCTTTTAGAAGTAGCGTTGGTACTGAAGCTTCATGTGTATGGAATGAACATTTTTCAAACAATAAAATAAGATTAACTATGAGAGTTAAAAGACCATAAGACAGTAAGTACGTCGAAAACTCACACCAGTGTATATGTAGGCAAATCACAAACAGGTAAACAATAATTCCTTGGACTGGAGATTTCAGTTCGTAGTAAAATCCCAATGACCATAGACTGTATGCAAAACACGGCACTATGAAAACACATGGATTTAACAGAAGCTTGAAACTCGTTTGACCTTGACATAACATAATAAATTTGTTCTGCTCAATTCTCTACGTCATTTGCAGTCTAGTCCTCTTGAAGCAGACAGAGCAGATAAATATTCCTTAGGAATATGTGAAAGAATTAGTGAATGAAACATTACAAAAGAAGCTAATCACTAATAACTTAAAAACTGCTCGAATAAGGCTTTACAAGCAAGAGTTTATATTCCCCCTTCGAGGGCATAAATAAAATTCTTGGTAAAACATGGATAAAGCAGTTATAGTGCGGTCAGACGATTAATATCATGCACTATACATTCTCGTATGTAGAGAATCCATCTACCAACAATAATCATTTCACATATTTAGGTTATAATCAATATGATAACAATTCATTACAGAAAAGATTTAATTTGCTACAAAGAAAAGTATATCAAAGCAAGGGTTTTCTTTAACATGTTAACTAACAAGTGGCTATTAGTTGAAAAATTCAATCAACGGATAGTACCTGGACTAATGTGTGGAGAAGAATATACCAACATGTAACCACATTATGGGTCTTAAATACTGCTTTAACAGTTTGTGTATGGAGGTGGGATAACATTAGGAATGTAGCATGTCGTGAAATGGAATGAACGTGATTATAAAATACAAAGCGATAAATTCAGAATCCCGTCGTCCTTCAAATTTTCACTATGATGAAAGAATATTACCGTAATACAATGGGTCCTGATTACTAGCCACAACCATTGTATTTAGTGGGTACGTAAATTAACTTTCCTTTGCAATTGAGTGAGAAAGACTCTACAATGTTACGAATCCCTTGACAATTACTCATGGTGACGTACAAACTAAATTCCAATTAAGTCAAGCAATGAAGACAGATAGAACTTCTGAAAAAATTGTGAATCAAGGGAGAATGTTAGCTTTTTTGTGTTTTTCGTCGCAACGGAAAACTGAATTTCTTGACGTCGCATTATACTACCCAGGATGACTGAATAGTATTAAGTCTAAGATCTGATGACGAAACTCTATTGTTAATTGCATAGAAGTGCATCATGATTTATTATCAACATTCTAAGGATTGTTCTAAAGAATGTTATGGTTTTATATACTTATTAAACGACAAAATGGCTCTCATCCTCAAGAAAGCGAATAGTCACATTTTATTTAAGATCTACGATCACCTGGGAATAGTGGATCACGGACATTACGCACTTCGCAAAATCCAAACGTGAGATCACCGATGACAACTGGGTTTCACTCACTTGCAATAACTAAAGTTATAGAATCGATCTATCTACGGCAGCTTCTTAATCTACCAATATACTTTGGTATTACGGAGTAGCAGCATAGGGTATTTGTGACAAGCATATACATAAGGTTAATATTTTTGATCAACAGTTAGTTGAGTAGGATTCCCATCAATAGCATCCTGAATTTGAGTTATGCAAGTATCACCACATATTTTGCGTTGATTTGTTCATTATTTCACAGAGAATGTCTTCTATGAAGATTATATTTATCAAACAGAACAGAGAGAATAAATATTTCTTTTTAACTAGTTTTTCATCATGGGTAGACATAAACGTATATGATTTACGACGACAAAATGTTGGTGTAGTAAAAAAGTTAAATAATATTATAATTAATGTCAAAATGGGGAAGGGTTGAACAAACTTCTGCAAAGATGTATGAATGCGGATACCAACATGTTCAGAGGTATGTGATTAACCCCACTATGTGGTGAATTTGGTGGAAGTTTAGTTCAAATTAAGATGAGGTCTTACGTTCACTAAGTGAACGAGAACGTAAGGTCATTAAAATGGGAGTGGGTTATAAATGAACGTTGATCCACCACATACATTACAAAAACATTTTCTAATTTCTTTCAAGTTTTGGTTTTTACGTGACTTTAGTATTCCTCTCTTAATTCTTCCGCAATTTCGGCAAAATTAACGGATTATAAAAAGCTTTTATAAATTTTCTTAATACATAAGATCAAGAAATGATAGTGGGAAAAGCTTCAACAGAAGGAAATATGAGATAACTGTATGACAACGAAGAAACCATCAGGGAAATATTGTAAGCCAGCCAAGGACAAAGAAGTTAAATCAATCATTGCGGTTTAAGAACAACGGCACTAGTGGGTAGAGCACTGAACCCACCAAACATCGAAGCAGCACATACAGACCTTCCTATAGATGTCACTCCAACGATCGAAAAAATCAGCATGGGCATCAAACAAATCACGAGTGGGAAAACAGCAGGACCTGATAATATACCAGCTGAAGCACTGAAGTAAGACAAAGAAGTAACTGCAAACATGCTCCACGTTCTATTCATGAAGATTTGGGAGGAAGAACAAGTGCAGACAGACTGGAAAGAAAAATATCAAGGAAAGAAGATCTGAGCAAGTGTGAGAACTACAAAAGCGTCAAACTACTATCAGTACCACGAAAAGTTTCCAACGTAGTGTTGTTGAACCGAATGAAAAACATAGTAGACAAGCAACTTCGAAAGCAACGGGCTGGATTTCATAAGGATTGGTCGTTCATAGACCAAATCGCGACACTACGGATCATTGTTGGGTAATCGCTTGAATGGAATTTGTCACTACAAATCAACTTCCTTGACTATGAGAAGGCGTTCGACAGTGTGGATAGGAGAACCGTATGTAACCTTCTTCGACAATATGGTGTACCTGAGAAGTGAGTGAGTAGGTGAGTAATTAAGTATTCTGACAGTCGCTTAACTGTTCCCGATTTTACAAGTAATTACTTTGATTATTACAATCACCATATTCCATCACTTAGTTGATAAATGGAATGATTTTTAGTAACTTGTAGAACTTACAATATTATTATGTAATACTGTTACTCAATCAGTAATATGTCGTTATAAATTATATACACCCTAATGTTTTTTACTATCGTTGAAGTAAGTGCTTCTATGATCTTGCTGTTCATCTTGTGCTAATGAGGTATAGAAACTTGTACTGATGCATATATGTGCCTGGTCCTACGTTGTAGCTGACTGACTGAGCCATGATGAAAAATAATTGAGAAAAATTTCCCCTCTCTGTTCTATTCACTAATTGTCTCAATGGGATTTATGTTTATACTCAGATATGAAATTAGAAAAAAATCGACTAAACTTATATCTCACTTCATCGGTAGTCATTAAAAGTGAAGAAAGCAACGCAAATCAACGATAAGTCAGTGAAACTTTTCCATAGTCCTTAAACAGACGATCAGGCGAGCATTATACATGGTCCGTATGCAGCAATGTTTTGTAGCCAAAATTGGGGTTCGGAGGCAATCGGATATGCTTTTAAACAATTTTCGCAGGAAACAACCAATAATAAATGAAGAAAATACGAAGTTATCATAAAAAAGAACGACTCTACAATTCCCAACAACAGTCAAACAAAGAACTGGTATTTGCGTTGACATTATGTGGAATGACAGTGAATACAATAAAACAGGAAAACTGAAGGTTAGGTCCAACAAACAGAAACACTGAAAAATTGTTGCATTGTTTTGATTGCCATAATTCAGGATGTCTAAAGGAATTCTTAGACAAAAAAGTATCAGTTTAACGATAAAATAATATGTTTTACGACATAACCTACAAAAAATGTGATGTGAATGAAATACTATTGTTAATTAAATGGCCTTGATCGACCAAGCCATTGAGTAAAACAAATATGAAGAAAAACACTAAAAACCCATTGACACCTGGAGTTGAAACAAGTTTGCTATGACAAAAATGATCAGCTAATGTGAAAATAGAGCGCGACCGTTTGACCGCGAGACTGAAGAAAAATTAAAGAGTACTGAGGATAGCTAACTTACACGAGGGATGATTTGAGAACTGGCCCAATCGACTCCAAATTGATCCATAAGTTTTCGTAAATTTGTTACAGCTGCTTCACGTACAGCGTATACATCGTCTACTAGCCAACCCAAGCATAAATTTGTGAGTCGCTCGTTAAAACATTGCAAACCAAGTTGACTGGCTAATAGTGGCATATACTCAATTATTGCTAGACGAACACGCCACTTTGTATCACTGGCCAATTCAACAATAGCAGGAAGTAGACTTTGACTAAGTTGGGTAATTCCCATAATTTGATTTACACACTCTAAATTAGATATAATATTCAAACGGACCTACAAAAAAGTGAGACATATTTCCGAAAATTGGATATTATAAAAAACAAAACCATACATAATTCAGGATTCATTGACAACAGATAAATAAAAATCTATTATGCAACAATTACCACACAAATAATAAGATGACAGAACTGTGCGAAGGACAAGGAGGTAAATTTTTAGAACGAGTTTCTCTCAATATTCTTCACCTTGGCCAGATGGATACTGGTTATAACAGTAAAAAAATGTCTTGACGCTTTCAAAAATTACAATTAGTACAATGGGTTACTTATGCTAAAATTTCCTACATGTAAAAAACAGAATTATGGAATTCGGGTAACTTTTGTAAACTTTCCCAGCTCTTTATTGTATGGTACTACAAGGTCACTTTTCCACGCATAAAAAAGATTTTTGTCTGTTATGTCATATGTAACCAAGTGAAAAATGTGCAAAATAAGCTTACTCTGATTTTTAACGTACGGTAGAAAAGTATCGACAAAATGATTACACTCTATTATAATCTAAACACAACATAAATATTTCGCTGATTAAGATTGGAACAAAATAAACTGGACTTCAAAACTATAATAAAACTACTGGACTTTTCTCCATTGTTTTGACCTACATCTGGTTACATAAGTATTATTTTCATCAACTTGCCAAACAAATTTATAGTTATATAGATGACACTCACCAAATGTTTCCTGATTTTATTCTTGCTGATAGTCAACGGACAACAAAATTTACATCATCCGGATAATAGTTTAACTATACAGTAATTCAATATGAGTAGGAGTGAAAAACAAATAGGAACTTTATGATGAAATTGACCAGATCTAGCAATTTGTGTGAAGTAATAACACAGAAATGTATAGGGTGTTTCATTTACTACGGCTAATCAAAAGTAGGAAACTATGAATCTAAACTTACATCTGGATTTTCGTCCTTTAATTGAATCAACAGTAATGGAAGAAGATGTTCTAATGTATTCTCCTTGCCAAGCAGCGGAGCTAAAGCCATCATGACACCGGCCAGAGCCGTTTTTACCTGTAAATTAGTTTCACCGACCATTTCCCGAATGATAGGTAACAATGTTTTCATAATTACGGATTCACGAATATCAGGGGCTAGAGACGAAGCAAACTTCTTCAGTTTGCCTGCAGCCGCTGCGCGAACTTCTCCTTCTGGATCTTTGAGAAGGATCTAGAATTGAGACAGAGATTTTTGCATTAGAAACGAGTGCATACTTGGTCAGAATATTTCACCAAAAGCATTTATTCATCTAAACATTAATAGTTTAAAAGAGTCAGCGTACCGCTAGTGAGTTGACGCTTGGATTCCAAAAACCGGATTGTAGTTCTAAACAACATCTCACCTACGTCGCTTTAGGTAGACGAATAGTATTGCTGGTTTTCACATAAAGTGTGGCTTAAAGTCAAGCAGTCAAACCTACTTCTATTAACAAGTTACATTATGCGAATTACATTTAACGAGATGTGATTCACTGACACAAAAGAAGCTGGCCTCAAACTATGCAGTAATAACATGAGCTATTATTGTTATCTAGTGATGGATGAAAGATGTTATCATTACGTACACAAATTATGAACATATAGCCTGGGACAGATGTGCAATGGCCCAAGTTACCATACTTTCCACACCTGATTAGCACGACGAAATACAAATAACAAAAGAGATGGGAGTGTAATATAACGGATGGTTTAAAATATTTCTATCTCACGGATATTACGATAGTACGTCAATAAGACTAATCACGTTATATAAGAACCAGGACTCACAAGTCAGAACAGAGAACCAGAATAACACTAAATAATACTTTATTCAACAAAATTACAAGCGGACAGACTTAGTGAGTCCGGAGTAGAAATCAATGACAGGAAGGGAAATCAAATATTTAATAGACCGTAGGCTGTGGCTGTTTGTTCACGCTCAACGACTAATCATATTTTTCTTTCACTACCACATATCAGAGTGATGTAGTAGTTGTAGTGATAAAAAGACTAGACATTGAGAATATAGTTTGAGAAGACAATGGAAAGGTATGGGATGAAGGAATACTGGAATTTAAGATCAAGATGAAGGGTGAGTGCACCAGCGCCATTGTCGGCTATTTTGATTCATATAATCACTAGATAAAATTCTCCTGTTATTTAACCATAAATATTTTTGCTATATTTTGACGATTTAAGAACATTAATTAAACCATGTAACAAGTAAAATGAAGCTAAGAGTAGAGAAACCAACGATGATCATGCATTAAGTACACGCCATTCTACTTCACTAACAATATGATCGAAATCCTATTGAGAACGAATATACACGTGTGTACGAACCATTGAATTAATCGATGGTTAGTTAAACACGGTAATCAGTATATGATTATTGAAGTGATTGGCTGTTATTTACATTTCAATGTCAGGATAGGTATGAAAGTGGAGCGGAAATCGGTACATATATGAATGTTACTGAATGCGAGTTGATCAAAGAAATAGATTATTATTTACACATTTGATCAATTTTAATTAACTGGCCACGTTATGTCTGTAAACTAACGGGAATATGGAATCTTTCCGACTCATGTTTCATAAAATATAAAACAAGAAGTCTAATAGCATGTTTCTTTAGTGTCAGGTCATCGATACTTTCATTCATTGGGAAAGATTGACGTTTAAGTTAAAACAACAAACACCATACCACAGAGTTTTTTATTGTGACAACGGCATCTACTTCAAGGGTTAGATGCCACATCTTAATTCATTAGTTTGACTGTGAAATCGGCTTCCGTGAAATTAAGAGAGGGGAAATTGGAATATAAATTAACAGAAATAACACAGAAACCAGTAAATGAATTCCTTTTGATTAAATATCCTCAAAAGAAATCTCCAAACTACACTGAGTAGCTCCCTTGCTAATAAAAAAAATTCTCATTCTAAAACGTTGAATATAAATACAAGCGAATCCCACTCATTTTTATAACGTTCATATCTATTCATTTAAGTACCTTGGACTTCTTTCTCAACTCCCACTTAAAATAGTATATTTCGACGTAGGAAATGTTTCGGACTTTTTAATACATGCCCTAATTACTTCAGATATAACTTCACTCCACTATTGACCGATATATTGAAACCGTAACATCGATGAAGGTAATTGTGAAAGAATGGACGTTAGTCACAAATTGAATATATCAATGGCAGCACGCAAGATCAAACAGCGGCGAATATGGTTTGAAAAGGGATGAGTTCTAGAAATAGACGTATGAAATTATAGTGATTATCAAGACTTGTGATAAGAAAGAATGAATCCATTTGCTCCATTGTGACCGATTGATGTACTAAACATCTATCGATTGAGATGGATGAAACACGTATTACGTACGCTCATCTACAGCCTACCTCGACGCACGATGTTCGCTGGTGTGTAAGTACATTGTGTGAAAGGGGCAACTAAACTAAAATACTAGCTGTTAGACAGAGCCGCGTGATTAATGTTTAGTGACCGTAAGTGACATAGCCCAGAACCATTCACAATAGCGCAAGCGCATTCAGTTTTTGCTGGATCTAATTTCCTCAAGTTATTTTCTTCTAATTTTATTAATATTATTAATATTCTTTTTTGGATAGTATCCTTGATGCCTCATCTTCTCTACTACCACTGACAGTGTCACTACTTATACTACTCTGAGATTCGGCTTTACAACCTTACTGTATCGATAAGGTGCGGGGACTTGAACCAATACCACGTTTCACTTCGAAGATGACTGACTGAATAAGTGATCGATCCTGAAATGTCACCTGACGTCTCTTATCACTGATCGCGGTTAATGTGTTGCCCCTGACTAGGTGGTCTACACCTACCACAATGACAATCCAACAAACACTGACTTCAGAGACTGATAGTATGTCTTGTTTTGGCACCCAAATGTCTCCATCGAACCCATTTCCATTCCAAACATTAAAAGTCGATGTAAACGGTAATTGGGGTGTGACAAACGTTCTCATCAGATTTATTTGGTGGTGTACAACTTGAATTTTTTATGCGCTCTCATTCATTGTTGGTGAGTTGAAAGGTAGAAATCTATATGAGCAAGAGTAAGTCCAACAGTAACTATTTCGACAACCTTTCATTATATACGAATCATCAGGAAATAAATCCGCCACTTATTTACCAGTTAAACAGTGAAAATTTTATTGAGTATGAAGGAATTCCGACACAATTGAGCACCAACAGAATATGTACCGAACAAATAGAGATAACACCGTGAAGAAATACGGGAAGGAATAGGAGTAAAAGCAGGAAATATATACATAAGAACAGTATGTAACAAGAGAAAGGTTCGTTAAAGATACAGCTGAAAGAATCGTTTTAGTTAAATGAATTCCTTTCAATACTATGAATGTAAAAGAAAATACGGACGAGTTTCTATTAGCTTCTACGTTGAGGTATGTCAGATAAAAGCCAGAGTTTCACTCACCCTAGGACTCCAACCAGGGAGTTGCGATAGACCGACAGATGCCAGTCTTAAACAGTTGTCATAAACACAGACCCGTGATAAATATCATCTAACCCTACTTTTTCCACAAAGTCTCAACAATGCAAGATGCGACATTCGTAAAGCATGTTCAAGTCACTGAAGTTAGTGCTTCCCGATAATGATACTGGATGGATTTTCGACAGTGCGTTCAAACACATATTGCCGAACCTTAGCATGATTAACATGGCGCTGCCATCAAATGTCGGACATGCTTCGGAGAGCAAAATGACCGAGGCGTCACCAAAAATATCTCTAGCTCAGATGGGCAAGCATAAAATAAAATGACCTTTTACAACCAACCTAATGTCACGAAAGGCGCCGAAGATGGACCGGGTAAGTAAGGGCGACTTTAGGTTTCGCCATGTGTAGATTGACTTCATCTGTTACGGCATCGACAGCACTCACACGATTAACAAGATAAGCAAACTTTTCTAACGCATCACCATAAAGCATCCAAGCACAAGCTTTTGTCAGCCATGAGGATATATTTTACCTTCAGAAGGTTCAAAGAGAATGTTACGGTTACGGATAGTGACTCTAAACTGGTCAAAAGCGATTTAAATACATTGCATACCACCTCATGGTTGAAAGGTTTTTCTGATAAAATAAGAAACTAATGTGTTTCAAATTTACAGACATCAACATTTAAAAGGCTTTGAAAATGTTACCTTATCATGAAATACATAAATCAAATTAATGGCCTGTTTATGAATGGGACTATGAAGTTAATGATAATGTATGAACGTTTCAACACGAAAAACAGATGGTACGGTTAAAGCAGAAGTGTACCTATAATCTTTCTTGAGATAAGGGGGAACGATTAAGGTACGAATATCACGCTAAAATTATGGAGAAAGCTAACCTGGTAAACGTCTACCAAGTGCTGTCCAGCAAGTTGGGGTTTTACTGCAGCCTGTAGATCAGTAATGTGATCAGCTAATTGATAACGGACTCGCCAAGATTTATCTTCTGCAGCTCCTCTTATAAGAGGAATGATGTGTGTCAAGACATCTTCAGTAGGAAGAACTTCAGCGAAATCTACTGACGCATTCACACCCAGTAATCGTACAGAGTCCTGATCATCCTGCTAAAACAGAAAACAATTACGATGGACAGCAGTAGATAAGCTCGAATTTTTACTTTTGTGGTTTAATGGAAATGTAGAGATATATTGGGCTTACTTGGGAAAGAGGAGGTAATAGCGGTAACAGGTCCGAACGTAACGCATCTAGTTCCAAACAACGAGCTAGTTCTCCGAGACGGTTAGCAGCTGCACGCCTGACCATAGGAGTATCGTCAGTGCAAAGCTGCTTAAAGGCGCGACGCAGTTCTGCACGGACAGCAGTAGAAGACTGTCGATAAATCACGCTAAACAGTCCACAAGCAGAAGTACGGCTAGTAAACCAGTCACCTGTTGCCAAACGCTTGATCAGTGGCAGAAAGTGAGTTTCCAAATCCTAAAAACAAAGACAAGCAGATGAGTCCCAATTAATGACTAGCATTGTATCTGTTTAAAGCACTATAGTATAAAATCATGATCTACACATATACTATGTATGTAAAATATATAGACACTTCACTTCATTATTTAGGAATCAACGGAGTCCATCATGATTGTAAACTAAAAGACCGAGATCCCGATTCGTAGATACTACACTTCCATCGTGATCGAGATAAAAGTCAAAAAGCATAAGCTGTTAATTATTTATTTAAACACATAAATATTGGTACAAAGGGGCACAGAATACATATGCGCCACACAAGTCACTTAATTTGTGTGTGGGCTGTGATACTGTTGTTAAAGTTAACTAGATGAGAGAGGAATATTTACTGTTTAAGAAATAAAAACCAAATTTATTCGTTTTAGTTTTTTTTTTAAGTTAGGATGGTGTTCCTCAAAACTTTATGTATGAGTTTCAGAGTAAACTCCAGATGGGAAGTTTATTTCCCTCCATACAGTTTGATCACGCCATCATGCTTGAAGATACACCGTAAAGGTATATTGGTCCTTTTAATTGGTGTGAGCTCAAGTAACTCATTTAACAGTCAGTCAGCCTGCAAGAATATTACTCAATACTCATCCAGCAAAAGTCACAATACTACATTACTTACATTTTTCTTCGAAGAGAATATAACTGCAATTCATTAAAAACAATAACCATACCTTTCAACTATGGGAATCGTCGAAACTAGAGGTTATAGGATGTTTAAGTTGCTGAGTTACATCATGGAAGGGTAGCTCAGTGGTTAGGCCACTCGAATTTCAACCGTTGAGTCGTAGTTTTGAACCAAAAACTTGGGACGGTTTATAACGAATCATCTAGACAATAAACTACAGGACATATTATGACTACAATTGACAACTAAACCGGAGGCTTTAGGAGAGGGAGGTTTACTTGACAGCCCAGTGTAAGATAGTTGGACAGACGATAATAGCAGGACATACTATTAACGTGGGATCTACTACGAACGTGTATCGGTCTGTTCTCACAGCTAAAGATAGCACGGCAACAATCAATTTTGAGTTATTATTGATCACAATTCGGTATCAAGTCTGATGTAGATATGAGTAGCAACACTTGCAGACTTCAATATGTTGGAGGGATTTGAAGAAACAATGACGTGAATTGCATAAAAACGAGAACCCCAGCTATTTACTCCAGTGAGATGCCACGGGGATATTCTATACATTTCTAAGCCCCCAAAAGAAACGCAATGTTGATCTTAGTAGAGAATGAATATTCTGGAATTTATAGGGAAGTCTTTTATAGAGAATGTTAAAAACCGAAAAACAGCGGCAATTCAGTATAAGGGAAACTAAGAACATGATATCCAAGAAAACCCAGTCATTACCACAGTCTTAGATAACTGGAGCACAAATCGAGTTGTCAGCCAAGGATATTAAGATGAAAAGTAGCTACAAAGTGACCAACTCGTAATCAAATGCTCTGAGTTAATTATTTGCATTACTAGATTGTCACGAAGCGTCCAAAGAAGAAAAAGTAATTATGATACGATCCTTGGTTGGCGCAAACCTTAATCCAGTGACGCTGAACAGTTGTATTTCATCAGAAACCGGATAAACAAGTCGTACGTGACTACATGGAGTTTAAAAAAAGACGATTTCGGGGCAGTCCAAACAGCACTACCTGTATGGAACTTATCCAGTTTGTCCCACACTTGTAAGCTTTTATAATACTCCAGAAGATAGTTACGTGTTGTAGTGAGTATATCATCAGAGGGGCAAAGGTCCCGAATCTTGCTCACAGCCCTGAAGAAAATATTGGAGTTAAAATGGATATCGACACAACCATGAATAGGCGTACGGTTATAAGAAAACTTAAAGATAACGTCAAAGCGTGGATCCAGTACAAAGAGGAAAAACTAACCTTGGGTGAGAAACTAGGTGCAAGTGTTCGCAAAGTCTCCACAGCTTTATCCCGCACAACCGTTTCTTCAGCAGATGCAAGTCCTTCCAATGGTGGTAGAAGACAATGGACATATTCAGGTCCTCCAACCAATGGAACAAAGTCTGCCAATTGTTTGGCCATTTCCCTAAGTACCTCATCCTCATCATATATGGTATCGGTTAGGAATGGAACCAATTCTGTTCTTGTCCTCTCTGGACCAAGTGCAAGAGCAATAGTAGTAAGTTTTCTGATGCTAGCCAGACGAGTTTGCATTTCCTCATTTCTTAACTCATCAATAAGAATAGCAATAGGAAAGAGACTCTCATCGGTCAAATCTGCAGTCATCTTTCTGAATCTACGGATGAACAAATCGGAGTTAAGATGAATGAGCATGGATAACTCTAGTCAAATTTACTTTAACGGAAGCTATGACTTTAAACCCAGATTCCAAGAAGAAACATAACATAACCATAAAAACAAAAGCCGGTTACATCAACTGGTCATATATCTCTTATGAATAGCAAACAGTTTTAAGAGTGAACTTGCTTAATCATTTATCTAGATTATACGTTTATAGGTATTATGAGCAGCTTGATCAGTTGGCTAAAATCACAATCGAAGTAGATTCCCAGGTTAATTAGCTCCCAAGTAACTATCACTGTTCAAATAAAAGCATATAACCAACCAATTAATAATATTAAATAAAAGATCGTCTCTATCTTACCGTGTTGTTAATGTTACAACAGCTTTATGAAGAGATACGAGGTAATTCTAAGGCAGTTATCGTTGAGCAATTGACAGGAAGCAGAAACATTAGAGGAGTAGATAATGACAAGCCATCTTAACTGGTCTAGACTCCTAACAAACAGGTTGATGTTAAAATATTAAGTACGAAAATGTGATTCAGTGTGACTGGAGTAATCAACGAAGCTAACTCAAAGTCGACTTACTTAACTATCATGCTGTGTTAAAGCNNATTAATGTTTCAAGCAATAATTTCAAATTTGCTGTAAAATAGAACAGGCTAAAAAAGTTTCGAGGAATAGAATTTTTCACCTAATAGCGTTTAATTTACCTTCATCTTATCAGAGAAATATGTTTAGTATAAATATTGCTCCACCGGTCATTTCTTTCGGTGCCTCACTTTTGTGGCTTATACACTTTTCTAAATATGTATATGTGGCTTTTTTCAATAATTATCAGTAACGATGTTTAAATTTTATCAGCATATAGATATAGATCCGAAAAATGTGCATATACTCAATGGAACAACTAATGATCCAGAGGCCGAATGCGAAATGTTTGAAATGGAGATAAAGAAAGCTGGAGGTATTCACTTGTTTGTTGGTGGAATAGGCCCGGATGGTCATATCGCCTTTAACGAGCCAGGTTCTAGCTTAGTATCTCGCACACTGTCAAAACACTGGCAAAGGAGACTATTGTAGCTAATGCTAGATTTTTTGGAGATAACATGTCTCAGGTAGTAAAATTCAAAAACTCTATGAACATCATTTTTTTCATGTTAAAATTTGAGAGTAGTAAACAAAAACAGCTACCAAAAATAACTATACATCTGACCAAAAAACAGTACAGAAAACGCACGATCGTATTAGTAATATATAGAATTATACCAAACAACAATATTTTCACTTAAGTTCTTCATAGGTCATTTTACTTGCTCTTGATACCTCTTGTGAAGTATAGGCAGCCCACCAGCATTCTCCGTCCTGGGCAATCTCTTCCAGTTGGTAATCATTTTTTGATGTTTGATTCCGATTCTCGACGTCATGTGTTCCTTGGTCACAATTTTACTTCCGAGAACTAAGGACTTATTTCAGTATGATTTTTCCAGGTATAGTTGTAAAGGCTCTCCTTGGCATAATTCTACTATCCCTTGGAGATACATTGTTATTCAGTGAAACATTCAATAGCCCTTAAATTTAGTTATCACATGCTTTTGCTTGGATCGCTTATAGGCTGACCTGTGTTTCTGACCGATATTAAGTATCGAACAAACGGAAACTAAAATGAAGTGTAATTAGTGATCGTAATTCCATTAACATGACTCATTCTGATTTTGCCATCCAGCACTTATTTTGCATGTAATAAATGGTCTTCTCGCCTGTTGTACATATCTATACTGTTCATTTCAATTATAGCCGTGTGATTACCGATAACTTTAAGTATATATAGTGATAAGGAAGACAGCAGTTATTACCAGTCACTTGTACCCCCCGATAAAAAAACTGTCGGTAAGTCACTGTCTCTATATAAGTAATAGGTCTGTTCGAACTACCGGTTTAAAAAAAATTTATGACGTCCCTTCACTTCATTTTGGGTTGTGTTATCAAGTAGGAGTCACTTGAATGGCGAGTTACTATCAGTTTGTCTTTAAGTGATCTTTATCACTATGAAATTAGTTCTTATAAATATTTTGTTAAACCAAAACAGTTAGTGGCTTGACAATTCTAACCGAAAAATAATTTGTAATGGTTTGGATTCTATTCTATATAACCGAACAAAGTTTCCATCACATTACATGGCCCTGAATGGCCTGGTACGGTCGAGGGCGGGGAGAGTCAGCTCTCCCTCTCGAAATGCTCGCACATGGCCGTGCGTATAAAACCACTGCTAGGGAAGTCCCACTCATTGCCTTCTCACAGCGGGGATGTTCTTTACGAAATTAAGAGGACGGAAATCAGATGCCCGGCGCTTTAACCGGGTTGGTGGAAATGGAGGTTCCACCTAGGGGACTTGGAAACCCCTGATTCCAAACCAATAGTGCACATGAACTCCAGGATCTTGAGGGAACAAATGGCGTATGAACCAATTATTGGTTACCGGCTACCATGGGACTGCGTTTCCTGATGTTGCTCCACTGCCTTATGGATCAGACCATTGGGTCTAAGGCTCCAGGTGTGCCCACCCCTTAAAAAACCACCTTCTTCGGTCTGAGCACCCAGTCAGTATCACAGTCCACACACAAATCAAGTGACTTGCGTGGCTCATATGTATTCGGTGCCGATTTGTACCAATATTTATATGTTCAAATAAATAAATAAGCAAACGGAGCAGATCACGAATTAAATTTGTCTTGACCAAAATATAACTTTTCAGTAAACAGCTGTGGCAAATAATCAGTAATCTGCTTTCCTGAATATGGAATCCAAAGCAGAACTGTATGTACCATTAGAGCCGTAGTTGACGTACGTAAAGGAACAACAAAGGTACTTTCTGACCCCTGAAAATTTAGTTGCGTCAAGGTGATTTCTTCTGTGGATTCAGTGAAGAAGCGCCCCTTCTTCATTTCCATTGGATTTTATCTTCATTGTTTTGCGCCAACATGGCCGGTGTGCCAAATTTCTAGATCTCAGAGATGAATTTTATAAGCTATAGACTGCGTAGTTAAGGCCGAGGTAACTTTAGTGACAGTGAAATTTCCTTACCTTATTTGACTATTATTTTAGATCATGAATGATTGTTAGTTCTTGCATACACACTGCACCCTGGGTTCTCTCATGTCCCTCGTTGCGGTCTGTTGTCACAGGAATAAAAAAACATTTGAAATGAGAAAAGGTAAATGGGAATCAAAAAGGAAGTGGTAAGAGTGACGAGATTTCCACGTTAGTCTCTCTCCTATTTAAAACACACGGACAAACGGTGATGTTACGGCTTTTAAAGTGGAAAGATATCTTGTTTGTTTCCAAGACACTATCAGATTGTTGAATCGCCTAGTTAAACACCTAAATGTTTTTTGACATCCGAGTATAAGCTACGGAAAGTTGTACAAAACTTTTACTTTCCACTGGTCTTTTTGAGGTTGCTTCGGGAATATTTTGTAACTGTAGCTTTACCAGGTTCTATTGAACTAGGTTAAAATGAAATATAAAAGTGCCTAATACCTGTTTCAGGGACCGATATAATAGATAATAAGTTATAAGTCTGATAATAAGGCCTTAATGTTATAAATTCATAAATCACCAACAAAATATATCTAACAACCACTTTGATTTTATTCATTAATAATGTATTTATCATGAGGATAAAGGTTTTCCACTCAACCCTCAGCAAAATAATGCATGCTAACTGTCAAATGATCCACAAATTTCACCACCCACTGATTTCTCATTTTCTCATGAACATCATTCAACTTTGTCATAAGCATGCTTCTTGAAATAACACTTTCATCATCTAACTTTTCAGGGATTGATCTTGTACAATGAGATTGTCTTGTTGCCTTGGAATATTCTGATGATATAGTTCTGTTTTGTGAACACGTTGACAAAATGCAGTCTTGTGACCACCTTGAGCGACAATGCAAGCATTTTTGGGGTGCGGTTCTCTCCCTCCAGATGTAAAATGTTACTTCAGGATTGGCTTATGTCGCCCCCTGAATTAGTGATAGGGAATAAAGTAGTTGGGCATATCGACCACTTCAATTATCTTGGGAATCTCATCAATGCCGATGTCTGACGAAATCTCAGCAAGCATTCAGAGGGCTCGATTGACTTTTACCAACCTGTTATGTAGGCGAGATGTTCGTCCGTTTGCTACGCAGCAATTCGCTTCATTCTGCTTAATGGATGTGAAACATGGCTATTAAGTGTTGGGGATATTCGTAGGTTACTTATATTCGATCATAGGTGTTTACAAAGTACTTCCGGTGTATTTTGTGACCACGGAGTAAGCAATACCTGGGTTAGGAGTAGAGTACTAGGTAGAAATGGGAAATCGATTGGTAAGGTAGTAAATCTTCACTAACTGAGGTGGTTGAGACAGGTGTTATGTATGCTTGACCTCTGCCTACCTCGATAGGTGGTCTTCTGGTGTAAGAGTAGGCTGAAAGCAAGCTAGTGGTGGCCAAACTAAAGTATGTCATCAGTCTATGAAGTCACAAACAATTGGATTTAGCCATTTTAATGGTTGTAGACCACCTGTTGGAGGTCCGCGTGATTATCGTAACCGATGGTAACAGACTTTGGATAACATGGCTGAAAATTGTTTTCAATGGTGCAGGTGTATCCATTTTTGTCTTCCCTCAGTTTCGTATGTTCCTATCAGATTCCGTGTATCAGAAACACTATATTTATTATCCTTACCATGTCACAAGACACCTTTATTTCTGTTTTCCAAATCGGTTTCCTCTTAAGTCAACTTCTGCGATAGGCTTCTCGAAGCAGGTCTAGAAACAAACATCGCCGTACAAGTTACAATTCCCACTCATCCATATGTTGGTATCACAGAAATTCTGTAATTCAGCCAACGATTACTTATAACCGTATGAATTAAAAACTAATCAAGATGCCTGCGAAGTAGTCAACAGTTACTGACGACTGCACTCGCCGACTTAAGTCTTTTATTCCATTTTACGGACCGAAAAAGTGAAACGATCCACAGCACAGGACAACGAAAAGTTACTTTACAAAGAACCTGCCACAAGTCTCACATAATTGCCTACAGTAAACATCAGCTAACACTGAACTTCAGATATACTACGTCATTACTTTGGTCGCTGAAGTATCTGTACACATAAATGTTAGTGGCTTTTTATGATTCCTTAAATCCGTAGAGGACGTCAGACAACACCAGTTTGTGGTTGCGTATTTATTTACAGTGAGTTATCTCGTATAAGAGTAATGTGTATTAGGATAGTAATTATCCAAATTAATGCAAAATAAAATGTAAATGCAATAAAGTACATTCACATGCATAGTAGATAACTGACTGTCACAAGCCGGTATTTAAGCTGTAAACTAAATTTTCCATTAATTGAAGCTGACTGATATTCTTATTTACAATATCAGGTTCCTGAGCGTTGCTTGACAGTGGGAGTTGGAACGGTAATGGATGCTAATGAGGTTATGATTCTAGTCACTGGGACTTCTAAAGCATTAGCATTGCAGAAAGCAATCGAAGAGGGAGTAAATCATATGTGGACAGTATCTGCTTTCCAGGTAAGCTATTTCTATTTTAATGGACTAATCACTTCTTAAGCATCATAAGAAAGCTATATTTGTTGTTGATGAAGATGCGACAATGGAACTCCGCACAAAAACTGTTCGTTATTTTAAAGACCTAGACAGTATACATCGCAAGCTAAATGAAATATCATTTTAGTTATGTTTTGCTTACAGATGTCCTAGTGATTTTAAATAAAACATTGTAACAATTTCTTATCTTTTCACCCTGGGATTACGGACTGGTGGTACCTGACAATCTAAAAAGGCAGTAAATGTAAGAAACTGCCTAAACTAACCGATACTTAGGGACCTTCTGATTGGCCTTTAAAAATAAGAGAAACCTTAATAAGTCTAAAAGCTGTTTAAATTCTCTTAATAGTTGCTTCCAAAAAGACAGTTATGTTGAAGCATAATCCTACCTACGGTCAATCCTATTTAATTATAGGCTATTATTAGATGAATAACAAGTATTCCCCTATCGCATGTGAATAATGTCTCATTCAAACCGTTGCAAGCTTACCGACTAGCCTTTGAAGCTATCCTAAAAAATACTCAACGAAAGAGATGTTCAGTGTACCAGATATTTGGCCGCGTCCATATAAAATAACTAGTATTGTCGCCTCCTGTAATGTAAATACACGTGTAGATATTTCGCATCCCTGTTTAGCGTGGGAAGAATGTATCACGATGCTTTTCGAAAAGTTGTATAATCTTACCGTGCTAATGGTTATGAACCGGCAAGTGTCTGATACTCAGGGGTTAAGATGTTTCGGGAAGTGGATACTTGCCAAAAAATACCGCTCGTTTCAGAATTCGAGAAATACGCTCACTCTTTTATTTGTGATGTCTCATTTAGGTTTTGTCAAGTTTTCTGATCAACATGATCGTCATTTTCTGGTTTTGGTGGCAATATGGCCTTGTAGTAATTGAAGTTTTTATTCGGAAAAAATTGGGTAATCATTGTCAGGCGAATTGAGTACTGATCCTACTTAGCATGGGCTACACTTTTGATGCTATAACTAAATACTACGGGATTGTGGGTTATTTTTCTTTAAATCTTGGAAATAGAAATTACGATTTCGGAGTTTTTTTACTTAGCTCTTCATCATGATCCGACACCAATACACATTTACTTTTGACTATAAAATCAATATCAAAAGATGAACATAATAACTAGGAAGGAACTGATACAATGAAAATGAAGGTGCAAAGCAAGTGGGTGGGAGTTCGTACTTAGAGACCACTTAGTAATCGGTAATGATTACGCTTGAATAAAGATGGAGGAACAGTGTAGCTACTCAAAATCATGTAGTAATAATCAAGACGAAAGTCAGTAAATGTGGGTCTAACTTGGATTAACAATCTGTTATCGTTACATAGCAAAAAAGATGAAAAATCGTGCAAACGTTATCCAAACATTCCTATGACATTCGTTGTACAGGAGCCAACATCTGGAGATAGGGAAAGCTAATTAGGATTTGACATCAAACTCGGAATATTACACGGAATGTGATGTACAGCATTGACTAAGAGTGCATTGTAGTGCACCTTACTGTGCTTTGTCATGCACACAACTGTGAGGGGTGATGGATTGCTCTCACTAGATATCCATAAGGACAGTTGGACTGATATATGCATATCGAGATGACAAAACATCCCTATCTAATAGGTATCCTTACCAAGGTTGGGCTTGATAGTTTCAAATGAATTGAGCATAGGGTAAAGAGTTAATAATAAATAAATTTTTGTTATATTCAACTGAGTAGCGATACAACTTTCCTGCTTTTTGAAATATAAGTAAAATATATATTATCCATATCTACATTTTACTAAATTCAAATTGAATAACTAAACAACGAGTGAGCCGCCTTACAGAATTGAATGCTTTTCTCAACGCGTATCTTAGACCTCGCGATTTCACTGTGCGTTTAAAAAAAAGGCTTCTTGTCGCTGCCAACACATACTAGTTTTTCCTTCAGGTATGTATTGTTTTGAAATATATAGTCTTAACTTCTATCTCAATGACATCTTTAAAACAATTAACTAAGCACTTAATTTCCTTTTGATTGCAATGGGAAAAGACTCTAAAATAAGTATATTAGCCTAAGTAGGTCAGTTCTCAGCATTCCATCTGACTTTCTGGTTAGTAAAACATATAAGAAACTAATGCTATTGTTTTACCATTTCGTTGCAAACACGACTAATTGACTCTGATGAATTTGCATAATAATTTCGTGTTATCTTTGTTATTGAGGTTGATAAAGTATCACAATTAAACTTGTTCTGCTGCCTAAATATGTACTCTGAGTTACTGAATAGATAGATATATGCTAATATAATTAGCATATACAATGTTCTTCATTTGAACGAGTCTTTTTCACTTCGAGAAAGTTACAGCATAAACCTTGCATTCAGAGAACCTTATAATACTTCGAGAACATAAATTATCAGGTAATACATCCTTGCGCTCTGAATACTCTCAGAGGATTCCATTATTATACTACAAAATATATTCTATTCATAAGTAGTAAATTTGAGGTCACATTTGGACACAACTCATGTACTATTGTCAAATACAATCGTACCTGAAAAAAGTAAACGTTATTTTGTGATTTTAAGAAGATAGATCACAGAATGAATCTATGAACCTTATGCGAATCGAATTATTTAGGTATGAATACAAATGCTTTCTGAAATTTATCACGTTTGCACATGTAATTGATATTCACCTCACTAGTCCAAATCGGTTGTAAAAAGGTAATTGTTGGGATATTCAGGAAAATATCCCAAAAATTATCCTGTCAAGCCTAATGCTATTCTTGGACATGAAATGGTATAATCTTATTGGCCAATATTTATTTAACGTGTTATTTTCCTGTTGGCCATTGTTGTACAATATTATCTTCTATTTTATGGTACGTTGTGGACTGCTTGAATGGTATATAAACAAAGCATGTTTGTAATATAATGATTCATAATTCCGAGGCTGTGACCTGTGTTCTGGACTCAACTGGCTGGGTTAGACAGGGAAGCGAGACCAATCAGAACCCTAGGTCGTTCTACGTGTTTGCGCGTCTTTGGTCCGATCAATAATTCGCTACCCTTAATCAGCAATATTTTTCACAGTTATAACATTTGGCGACGGGGTGAAAAAAAGGTACAATCCAAAGTCATTCTGTAATTGGACAAAATCCAGTCTAATTATTCAACCAATCAGTATCCAGATTGTCATCAGTGTCCTTGAACCACATTGGTCATTAGTCATACAGTAATTTTCATCACAGGTGCTGATTCAAAAAAAATGACTCTCCCCTCCGATCGATTACAGCTGCTCTTTGAACGACATTTGGAGTTATTAGTCAAATTCCGCACGCAGCTGCTAAATCACTCATGCTATGAAGACGCGACGGAAGTGGATGGATTGATATCTGAAATACACAGTGAGCTGGAAAATGACAGCAGCCTCCATGAATCCTCGGTGAACTGTACTTCAAACGAAACAGTCATCCATCATGCGCCCAGTGGTCCAGTACTTTCTATTCCAGAAACATGCCCGGTAATGGAGTCAAACTCCATCAACCCTGAAACAGCATGCGCAGACAGTAACATATCCAGCTCACGAGAAGATCTCATTGTTTTGCCGGAAAATGTGTTCCACGCATCAAATAATAACCAAGAACCTGGTACGGTTTTGTTGGACGCCGATTATCATCATGATCCACTACTCACTAAAGATTTAAACCCTAATGACCTCAGATCTACTGTCGCTGATCCTCACCATCTAGTCAGTCCTAGTGGACTCTCTACTCAACGCAGGAAATATGCTTCAAATAGAGTCACACTAACTGTTCCTTGGGTATATGAGGACCCAACATTATTTCGAGGGGGAGGATAGACGCGAGAAAAATTTAAAATTCGGACATCAACTCCGGATCTCCAAAAAAGGGAGGTGTTGGGATATTCAGGAAAATATCCCAAAAATTATCCTGTCAAGCCTAATGCTATTCTTGGACATGAAATGGTATAATCTTATTGGCCAATATTTATTTAACGTGTTATTTTCCTGTTGGCCATTGTTGTACAATATTATCTTCTATTTTATGGTACGTTGTGGACTGCTTGAATGGTATATAAACAAAGCATGTTTGTAATATAATGATTCATAATTCCGAGGCTGTGACCTGTGTTCTGGACTCAACTGGCTGGGTTAGACAGGGAAGCGAGACCAATCAGAACCCTAGGTCGTTCTACGTGTTTGCGCGTCTTTGGTCCGATCAATAATTCGCTATCCCTTAAGCAGCATTTATTATTTTCACGTTATAACAGTAATCCATGTATTGTTACGTGCATTTTGAGAATTAGTCAAGTCATTTGATTGTTTCTTTTGTGGATTTAGTGATGTGATCAGCAAAGCTTTCAGAAACACACATGCATAAGCTGTGTAGAGGTTATTCATTCTAATTAAGTATCTGTGTATTCGAATTAAGGCTGTTAAAGCCTGATATCTATATCTTAGCTGAGAACATTGAGTATGTTGCAGAAAATTCAACTTTATGAACAAATGTCAGAATTGCAATTGATATAAAACATGGACTACATGAATGCGCAGTTGGTCAGCATCCTGATTAATAATAAACTTGCCATAAATATGAAGAAAACCCGAATACAATAAATATCATATCCCCCCTCTCGTAGACAAAGTGTACAATTTCCTAAACATGCAAAATATCTTTTTTGAGAGGACTGAAAACGAATAGACAAAAACATTTTTGCTATAAGAGTTTATAAACAAAAATACACTTACAGTAATAGGACAAACGTCAGTAACGAGCAAACCAAACAATGCTAGCTAATGAATAATTAGTGTTTGTGACAAAAATACCTCGTGTATAATTGTGTGAAATGAACGGCGTAACTAATACGTTTTAAGAGAGCGATCAACAGGACTCGCTTCAACGATAAAAAAGCCGGAATATCAGTTCGTCACTTGTTCTTAATCGAAAAGCAAATTTACTTTACATTTACTAATAAAGGGATATACAAAATGCATTACTAATCTGTGTATAATATATGTTATAACTATGGAGTGTAGGTTGACTGAAGGCTGTTGCAATTATGAAAAACATCAACAGGTGTGTAATCAAAAAAATCTACAGAAAACACTAACATGTAAGCCAGACATCGTGGATGCGGATTAACTACTGGAAATAAAGTAACTGCTTGCTTCTTAGCGTACTTCATACTGTGATAAATATTACCTCAAGTACGATATCTACCAAGAACTATCAGATAAGGACGATTTGTTTCTCTCCGATTCCGAATTTAAAATAAAGAGGGAACCAAACCAGTCATTTATCAACGCAGATCCTGGCGTATGTATCGATCTAAGTTCGCATGTCTTAGATTAACACAGTGACAGGAAATTAACATATTTTGTTGTTTCTCAAAGTAACCACCAATTATATACCTACGTTACGTACTTTTAGAGAGATCTATTAAGACATTTATTGAAGAGGGACTTAAACTTGCTAGTTAGCAGTTGAAAGCTGAGCGCTTAAACTACTGAGTCGAATGTGAACTTTTGTCTTGCACTAAAAGATAGCATTGAGACGGTACTGAACAATAGGCTTCTGAATTGGGATGTGAAACATGAGCATCTATTCAAGTTGCCGAACCGCACTAACACGGCGAGATAAAATTACTTCCCTGTTATCGATTTCTTCTCCGAACTCACTGAGTGTGACTATTTGTAACTGTGTCAAATAAAGTACTATCTAGTGATAATCTGATTTCCTATTCTGGGTCGTTAATCCCGGATCTGATATAAAATGACTATTCTCGTTATCGTAGTATACATGAAGGGGGAAATATTTCAAACTACCCGTCATATTAATTGAACTATTGAGAACGATTTTCAGCTATGCCAGCCAAAGTCTCTAGCCACTTATGACGATAATCACGCGGGCCCCAACCAGGTAATGTGCACGTGACTTATCCTAATTTTCAATGAAAATGAATTAATCAGCGCTAGCGAATGAGCTGAGGACTCTGGATTATAACTTAATTGACTTTCTATTTCATTTTGGAATATATCTGCATTCAATCCAAGTCGTTTTCTTAGGAATAATAAGGTGAATAACAAGAATTGACACCAGACAATGTCGCGCGTAGAGGAGGAGGGATATACATATGTAACCCATGTCCCAACTACATCAGTGAATGAAGATTCACTAACTCATCAACAGATTCGCCACCTTTACATAGTACTCTGTACTTATTCTTTGAACTGCTCGCTCGGTGATCCCAAAACACACGAGCAATGCTTTGAGACACCCATGATCGGATACTAGTGACCCACTAAAGTTGTATATTCTTAATGGCCATATTTCACACCCATAAAGTGGGGCAAAGCGAATTACTGCACAGTAAACTCGTATTTGACAGATGATTAATTATGCCAGAATTGTGACATGTATTTAAATACAGAAGAGATTGGAAGTAATCCTTTTTCCATGAGCGAACTGGCGTTTAAACTAAGTATTTCAGGAATAAACAACTGACGCACTGTCATTCTTTCAATGAGTACAGTTGGTCAGTATAATGTTTTCATTTGAATCAGGTATGAACGTAATTTATGAGGTTGATAAAAAAAACCCATTGGCTATAATAAATATAAATAATAGGATTGTTACAATGTCTAGACAGCTGAAAGCCCATAGATATAAGCTACGTGTATGTTTTTCTGTAATCATAACCTAAATACTGAATAGCATAAACGTTCATATTACGTAAATATTCGATCAGTTAAGCACAATAAGATAAGAATTACATCATGAGATTACAGGCAAGATTTCGAGTGAAACATGTAAAACATAAATACCTTATTAATAAGATGACACAAATATCAGGTCTTATTTATTAATGTAAGCTTACAAGATTTATATTATCATCGTTGTTTTTGACCTGCTATAAGACTGATCGTCATCTTCACGTTCTTCATCTTCCTCCTCTATTGGTTCATGAAGAAGACGGTTTACTGCGGGAGTATTAGGAGTAACACTTAAAAACCCAGCATCCATAGCCGTATGATCATCCAAAACATTCAATCTCGACGTATTATCAGTTTCGCTGGGAGCAACGCTCTCAGATGGAATCAACCTAGTAGGAATATTTATGGTACTATTTCGAGTTAAATGACGGGCAGTCGTTAAATCCTAAAAGAAATTAGAAGAAATGAAACTATGTACAAGTAAAAGATTAGATTTTATTGGATATAAACTCCAATCTCTACGGAAAAGTTGTGTAGAAGTTTTAAGTTAATAATCCTTTACATATAGGTATATTTATCTGTTTCACTCCACAACATGGTAAGAAACATGCCGTTTCGAGTTGTGTCAGTATTTGTATGCTAAGTTCAAGTTAGGTGGCTACACGAACGAAACGTTCCCCTGAAGTGTACAGTCGAAGGAAAAGTTGTTATTAATAGGAACTGGAAGATTTGGGAAATGTGTTATAGTAGCCCCAAATGATGGTCATATAGTGCCAACCGAAAAGGTAACTGGATAAATAGGACTGTTGATTGTGTTTACCATAACGATAGTAAAATTTTATGTCCATTATTTTTTGGCAACATCATAAGGGTAGTATCGAAGAAGCAAAAAAGTGTTAGGTATGCAGAGGAATATACCAATAATTATCATGTTAAGTCTAACGGTGACCTTGGACTTTAAATGGACACTCCCTATTGGTCGATATTTGTTTCACTTGTTAAATATTGTGTAAATGTTTTCTATTTTATGGTACGATGTGGTTTGTTTGTTTGGTATATAAAGAGTATGTCTGAAATATAATGATTCATATCTCGGAGGCTAAGACTTGCGTTCTGGACTCAACTGGCTGGGATAGACAGCGGAGCAGGGCCAATCGGGTCTCTAGGTCGTCCAAACGTGTTTTCCGTGTCACTGAATCGATCAATAAAACACTGCTCCATCTAAACTGCAATCCACCCGTTACAACAAAAAGATCATACGAAAAATAGAATTCGCGAAGAATGAGTGTGTTCTTTTGGTACACCTTTCAACGATAAACTGCCACAAAACCTCTCAGTCTACGTAGTCCAAATCCGCCTTCAGTTCAAAAATGTAACTATAGCAGACCACCAGTAAGTATGCATTTGCGAAGAGTGAGTATTTGATTGATACATCTAAGCGATGGTCTGAAAACAACCTGATTCTCCCTAATCGAAAGCTTATTTCGATTCGATATTCATGATTTTTGGAAATCGTAAGGTAGCCGGATATTAGCTGAGTTCCTTATTGAAGTATTCAACATATTGTTACAATCTTCTGAGCTGATCACAGAACATAACTCCGTCTTTTTCGAAGATAGTTAAACTGACAGCTGTCTTTTTTAATAAATGTTTCTTCAAAAATCCTGTCAGTGATGGATACAGCTTGTTATGTTATTATTTAACTCTAACATATAAACAAATAGAAATACTTATTGCAAAACTCACTCAACAAATTTCAACAAAGTAATTGAATAAAACTTCCATCATATAGATAATGGATGACAGATTTAATTTCTAACTTACTTGTGAATGACCAATTAGTGATAAAGATAACGCAGATCCGATCATATCAGAAGTGAAAGGAAAGCTACAAGATAAACAAAAGAGGTATATAAATGCAGGCAATATGGAGACAAAGAGCAATGAAACCATTGATAAATATGAACCATAGTAGGTATTTGAACGTAGCAATAAAGTAACACAGGTTGAAAAAGTTATACAAAAATTGATCATGAAAACACAGAAGCTTTTTTAACTTTTTTATAATCATATACAAACAAATATTACTTCCTTACGCCTGTTAAACCTCGCTGAGGAGCATGCGCAACCGACTACCATTCTCTATCAAACTCCGTCCTGAGCAATACTTTCCAGTTGCTATTCATTCTTTTGATGTTTGCTTCCGATTCTCAACGTAATGTGTACCTTGGTCTTCCTCTTTTTCTTTTCCCTTCGAAATTCCAAGTTAGTGCTTGCCTCGCAATGCAGTTTGATGATTTCTTTAATGTGTGTTCCATCCACTTCCAGTGACTTTTCCTACTTTCCTCTTCAGTCGGAACTGGTTTGTTCCCTGCCACAGTAGGTTCTTGCTGATGGTCAATGGACGCCGAATATCTTGCGTAGATAGCTGTTTATAAAAACCTGTACACTTTTCATATTGATTGTAGTAGTTCTCTAAGTCTCAGCTCTGCACAATAGAAATTTCTTGACGTTTGTATTGACGATTATGACTTCGGTCTCGGGTGACGGTTGTTTTTAATTCCAGGTGATCCTCGACTGTAGGAATGCTGCCCTTGCTTTGCCAATCCTCATCTTCACGTCTGCATCAGATCCTTCTTGTTCATCGATGATGCTGTCCAGATGTGTGAAAGTCTCCACCTCTCGCAGAGCTTCTCCTTCAAATGTGATTGGGTTAGTGTTCTCCGTGTTGTATTTAAGGATCTTGATTTTCCATTGTGTACGTTGAGCTCTACTGATCCAGAGACTTCTGCCACTCTGGTTATCTTTATCTGCATTTGTTGGTTTGTGTGGGGTAGAAGAGCTAGGTCATCTGCGAAGTGCAAGTCGTCTAATTGGCTCTGAGCCGTCCGTGCTTTCTATCAGTTGTTGAGGTCTCCATAATCCAGTCAACCACCAGAAGAAAGAGAAGGGGAGAGAGTGAGCAGCCTTGCCTGACACTGATCTTCACTTGGAATGTGTCTGTCAGCTGTCCACCATGCACGACTTTTCAGTGTAGTCCTTCGTACGAATTCCGTATGATGTTGACGACCTCAGGTACACCATAGTGTCGAAGAAGGTTTCATAAGGTTCTCCTATCCATACCATCAAATGCTTACAATGGATCTGGTTTATTTAGGAGTTGCTCTAAGTGTATCACCCATTTGTTCCTCTGTCTTTCCATGTATTTCTGCTTGTTTGCTTCTGTGTATTCAACTTGTGTCTTGTATTTCGCTGTTCATTTTCAGTTGTCGTTGATTGCTGTCTTGTTCTTCCTTTCTGAAATCTTGCCCAACATGCCATTGAGGATGTGTTTTTTTGTGATGGTGCTTCTCGTCGCTCAGTGCCTCCTGACATTTTGAAGATATATATATATATATGTACATAAAAAGAAATGTTTTAAGAAATACTGTTTTACTTTATATTATATGTCGATCCTCTAAATGGGCGAGAAGCTAGTCGTTTGGATTCCTGTGTGTGGGGTAATTCGATGACGGATTGTTGCCAGTGGAAATCTCGTACAATAGCTGGAGCGCTTGTTTTCATTCCATCAACAATACACCATCCAGTCTAGGTAAACATCAAAAATGTCTTGTTAGCACTAAATTTGTATTTGTCGAATAAAAATCCATGATATTAACACAGATTGAACGGATATATGAATTTTGGGAAATAAGAAACTTATAAAACAAAAAGTAACAAGAAACCAAGTACAAATTCGTATAACAGATATTATGAGCTACATACATCTAAATTAAAGATATTTCTGGGAGAAATATGAACACTTAAACAAATAAATAAAAGTCACAAGAGTTACTAAACAAGGTTAAGTAGCATTCTTAAACACTAACTATTGCACATCGAAAGTTCACACTCAATTACTAATAAATCTTTTTTGTTGTATGTTCTGTATCTAGTAACTTCCCGAATAATTTACATCAGAACGATAAAACCATTCGACTCTGGACTAACTGTCATTAGGTTAGCTTTACGACTAGTTGTAGATGACCATAACCATCTACGTAGCTGATGAAATAAGAGTACGTAGTAATCGGTACTGAAAGTTATCATGTTGATCAAATAACATAAATACACAAAAGCTGAATGAAGTCAAACAGTTCGTATTTAATACTTACTTTCCAATTAAAGTCTATCACCTCATTAATATCAATATCTTCGTCATTTTCCCCCATAGGATTAACCAGTGTTTCGGCAACCTTTACAAAAGAAGAGGAACAAACTCTTAATTTCTGTAAAGAAAATTTAATAGAAAACCAACCTAAATCTGCACAATAACGCGACAGTACTTAATACAAGCAGTTAAGATTATTTTAGTTGAAAAATTATGTTGCAGATCAAATATGGCAGGATGTAGGAAGCATAAAACAGATTGATGCCATGGAAAATGAATATTATAAAACGCTTGAAAAAACAGTTAGTTTAATTAAATAACAAAGGAATTACACACCAAAAGTTAGCGTATTCATTAGACATGTAAAATTGACATTTTCAACATAATTGTTTACATACCGTAGCAATGTAGTGAATCATGTGGAACAAAAGTGTTAAGAAAATAATTGATCAGTTTACCACTATTGATACTGAAGGGGTACTACACACTTTTTCTACTGCTCTGTTCAAATAAAAACGCGTCTAAACAAACTCATTGAAGAAAAACAAATAAATGATTCACTATTTACTGAGGCATAGAGGCACATGCAGGTTTTCTAACAAGATGAGTTTAGAATATTTCCTTCGGACTTAAAAATAACAATAGAATTTTCGATTTTATGTAGAAAATATAAACAACAAAGTTTAGTAATTATATGACTAAATTTATAATGAAAATTACTTAGAACAGTGATAAAAATTAGTCGTCTTTTTTAATGAAAAGATCAGTGTCTGAAAAAATAATGTTCATGAAAAACTGGGAAATCAGTGGTTAGGGAAATTACTGGATCACTTGGCCGAACTCCAGGATGATAGAAGTAGTGACAGTGCCAGTCGTAATACGAAAGCATTGGCATCGAAGATATAACTCAAGTAGGAAATATAAATCAGCGAAATGAAAGCGAAGAAGTTATAAGGAAGACAAAAAATGGATACACCTGCACCATTGAAAACAATTTTCAGCCATGTTATCCAAAGTCTGTTACCATCGGTTACGATAATCACGCGGACCTCCAACAGGTGGTCTACAACCATTAAAATGGCTAAATCCAATTGTTTGTGACTTCATAGACTGATGACATACTTTAGTTTGGCCACCACTAGCTTGCTTTCAGCCTACTCTTACACCAGAAGACCACCTATCGAGGTAGGCAGAGGTCAAGCATACATAACACCTGTCTCAACCACCTCAGTTAGTGAAGATTTACTACCTTACCAATCGATTTCCCATTTCTACCTAGTACTCTACTCCTAACCCAGGTATTGCTTACTCCGTGGTCACAAAATACACCGGAAGTACTTTGTAAACACCTATGATCGAATATAAGTAACCTACGAATATCCCCAACACTTAATAGCCATGTTTCACATCCATTAAGCAGAATGAAGCGAATTGCTGCGTAGCAAACGGACGAACATCTCGCCTACATAACAGGTTGGTAAAAGTCAATCGAGCCCTCTGAATGCTTGCTGAGATTTCGTCAGACATCGGCATTGATGAGATTCCCAAGATAATTGAAGTGGTCGATATGCCCAACTACTTTATTCCCTATCACTAATTCAGGGGGCGACATAAGCCAATCCTGAAGTAACATTTTACATCTGGAGGGAGAGAACCGCACCCCAAAAATGCTTGCATTGTCGCTCAAGGTGGTCACAAGACTGCATTTTGTCAACGTGTTCACAAAACAGAACTATATCATCAGAATATTCCAAGGCAACAAGACAATCTCATTGTACAAGATCAATCCCTGAAAAGTTAGATGATGAAAGTGTTATTTCAAGAAGCATGCTTATGACAAAGTTGAATGATGTTCATGAGAAAATGAGAAATCAGTGGGTGGTGAAATTTGTGGATCATTTGACAGTTAGCATGCATTATTTTGTTGAGGGTTGAGTGGAAAACCTTTATCCTCATGATAAATACATTATTAATGAATAAAATCAAAGTGGTTGTTAGATATATTTTGTTGGTGATTTATGAATTTATAACATTAAGGCCTTATTATCAGACTTATAACTTATTATCTATTATATCGGTCCCTGAAACAGGTATTAGGCACTTTTATATTTCATTTTAACCTAGTTCAATAGAACCTGGTAAAGCTACAGTTACAAAATATTCCCGAAGCAACCTCAAAAAGACCAGTGGAAAGTAAAAGTTTTGTACAACTTTCCGTAGCTTATACTCGGATGTCAAAAAACATTTAGGTGTTTAACTAGGCGATTCAACAATCTGATAGTGTCTTGGAAACAAACAAGATATCTTTCCACTTTAAAAGCCGTAACATCACCGTTTGTCCGTGTGTTTTAAATAGGAGAGAGACTAACGTGGAAATCTCGTCACTCTTACCACTTCCTTTTTGATTCCCATTTACCTTTTCTCATTTCAAATGTTTTTTTATTCCTGTGACAACAGACCGCAACGAGGGACATGAGAGAACCCAGGGTGCAGTGTGTATGCAAGAACTAACAATCATTCATGATCTAAAATAATAGTCAAATAAGGTAAGGAAATTTCACTGTCACTAAAGTTACCTCGGCCTTAACTACGCAGTCTATAGCTTATAAAATTCATCTCTGAGATCTAGAAATTTGGCACACCGGCCATGTTGGCGCAAAACAATGAAGATAAAATCCAATGGAAATGAAGAAGGGGCGCTTCTTCACTGAATCCACAGAAGAAATCACCTTGACGCAACTAAATTTTCAGGGGTCAGAAAGTACCTTTGTTGTTCCTTTACGTACGTCAACTACGGCTCTAATGGTACATACAGTTCTGCTTTGGATTCCATATTCAGGAAAGCAGATTACTGATTATTTGCCACAGCTGTTTACTGAAAAGTTATATTTTGGTCAAGACAAATTTAATTCGTGATCTGCTCCGTTTGCTTATTTATTTATTTGAACATATAAATATTGGTACAAATCGGCACCGAATACATATGAGCCACGCAAGTCACTTGATTTGTGTGTGGACTGTGATACTGACTGGGTGCTCAGACCGAAGAAGGTGGTTTTTTAAGGGGTGGGCACACCTGGAGCCTTAGACCCAATGGTCTGATCCATAAGGCAGTGGAGCAACATCAGGAAACGCAGTCCCATGGTAGCCGGTAACCAATAATTGGTTCATACGCCATTTGTTCCCTCAAGATCCTGGAGTTCATGTGCACTATTGGTTTGGAATCAGGGGTTTCCAAGTCCCCTAGGTGGAACCTCCATTTCCACCAACCCGGTTAAAGCGCCGGGCATCTGATTTCCGTCCTCTTAATTTCGTAAAGAACATCCCCGCTGTGAGAAGGCAATGAGTGGGACTTCCCTAGCAGTGGTTTTATACGCACGGCCATGTGCGAGCATTTCGAGAGGGAGAGCTGACTCTCCCCGCCCTCGACCGTACCAGGCATTCAGGGCCATGTAATGTGATGGAAACTTTGTTCGGTTATATAGAATAGAATCCAAACCATTACAAATTATTTTTCGGTTAGAATTGTCAAGCCACTAACTGTTTTGGTTTAACAAAATATTTATAAGAACTAATTTCATAGTGATAAAGATCACTTAAAGACAAACTGATAGTAACTCGCCATTCAAGTGACTCCTACTTGATAACACAACCCAAAATGAAGTGAAGGGACGTCATAAATTTTTTTTAAACCGGTAGTTCGAACAGACCTATTTACTTATATAGAGACAGTGACTTACCGACAGTTTTTTTATCGGGGGGTACAAGTGACTGGTAATAACTGCTGTCTTCCTTATCACTATATATACTTAAAGTTATCGGTAATCAACACGGCTATAATTGAAATGAACAGTATAGATATGTACAACAGGCGAGAAGACCATTTATTACATGCAAAATAAGTGCTGGATGGCAAAATCAGAATGAGTCATGTTAATGGAATTACGATCACTAATTACACTTCATTTTAGTTTCCGTTTGTTCGATACTTAATATCGGTCAGAAACACAGGTCAGCCTATAAGCGATCCAAGCAAAAGCATGTGATAACTAAATTTAAGGGCTATTGAATGTTTCACTGAATAACAATGTATCTCCAAGGGATAGTAGAATTATGCCAAGGAGAGCCTTTACAACTATACCTGGAAAAATCATACTGAAATAAGTCCTTAGTTCTCGGAAAGAAAAATGTGTCTCAACTAGGTATGAAGAGGGAAAGCAGCTCACATATAGACTAAACTATATTGTGCTGAGAATTCTATATTGTACCAAAAAGATAATATTGAATAAAGCCATTAATAATAATAATAATAATAATAATAATAATAATAATAATAATAATAATAATAATAATAAAACTAACTGGTCTCTGTCTATCAATTTCGAATATATCTAGCTTTACAGTAAACCACTTATTACTTTATGTATGAAAAACTAATACTTTCGTATGTGAATTTCTTGAGTAAAGTAATCAATATATTAGTGTATTTACAAACTGGTTAAACAGGGAAACAACGTTTGGAGCTGACATAGATTACTGCCCAACCAGAATGATATTGTCTTACTATGCTATAATACCAAAGCCATGCAATCCGTCCGTAGGTATGGTATGTGCTTCGCACCTTCGAAGTGCAAAATACTTCTACAAGACTGGCAGGATTTTAATCCTGTACTCACTCTGGGTGGTGAGCAGATAGAAGTAGTCGAGAAGTTCGTGTATCTTGGTAGCTGAATAAGTGCTAGTGGTGGTGTGAGTGATGAGACCGATTCACGTTTGGTGAAAGCCAGAGCGGTGTATTCCAATCTGGGCCATCTTTGGCGCCTTCGTGACGTTAGTCTGGCTGTAAAAGGTCGGATCTACAACGCGTCGGTGAGAGCAGTTTTGCCCTATGCTTGTGAAACCTGGCCTCTTCGAGTTGAGGATGTTAGACGAATCTCTGTGTTTGATCATCGTTGTCTCCGACGGATTGTTGACATCCAGTGGTAACACCATGTCAGTAATGAAGAGGTTCGGCATCGTGTGTTCGAGCGCACAGACGATAGTTCAATTGGTTTCATCATCTTGAAACATCGACTTCAGTGGCTTGGACATGTTCTTCGAGTGTCGTATTAGCGAATTCCACGTCGTGCATTATTTGCCGACTCTGGGACTGGTTGGAAAAAGCGGAGAGGTGGTCAGTGTATGACATGGTGTCGTGGAGTGAAAGAAAGCTGTAAAGAGCTGGCTTGTGTTGGTTCTTCACGACTCCCTGGTTGGGGTGCTAGAGATGGTGCAACACAGTGGCTAGAGACGTTATCAGATATGGCTCAGAATAGAAGCCAGTGGCGATCCTGTTGTAACCTTTTTTTACTTTCTTCATAAAAAGTGGCCGCAACTTCTGAAAGAATTCTTTCTGGATGTACCTTTGTTCCCCCCTTGCACCAAAATTTGTGTTCAAATAAATAAATAAATAACTGCGCGTCCCAAGTCCGGATAAAGGAGGGTTGGGCAAGGGACCAACAACCCCATCCCATAGAAAACGTTCATAAAAAACGCTAACCAGAAGAAACAATTTGAACCATTTAAACTCTGTTCTCCGAGTTGGAGGATTTTCATTCATTTTGACGCCTTATGGTGAAAACCGAGACTCTCCGGAAGTTTCTAGGCCGATGCCCCTTCTGAAAACCAGCGCAACAATTGACATAGGTACACAGAAAGTCCACACAATGTGGCAAGACCAGTCAAATAGACAGGGAAACGAAAAAAATACAACCTGGTGATGCTTAGAATAAGTAAAACCCATCGGAGGCAAGATCGACAGGAAAGAGTAACTTCAGGAGACGTGCTGTTGTGATTTGGTCATGAAGAAAATGCTTCGCACACACAAGGAGTTCCACTGATTCTGTTCAAAGAAGCACGCAAAGCACTTGCAGGATAGGAATCTTATGGATGCAGGATCATCAAAGCATCCTTTACAACAAAGGAGGGGATTACGATGAATGTCATCCAGTGCTCTGTACCCACTAACGATAGCGACGTGAACGTTAAGAATCAGAATACCAGCCCCTGAAGAAGACAGAAAATGAAAGTGTCAGGTAAAAAAGTGACAAGTAACTATGTAGGTAAGTAATTAGTTAAGTAAGGTAGAGTAAAGAAAGTAAGGAAGAAAAGTACGTAAGGAAGTAGTTAGTGAACCCGCTTAACTGATTCTATGTAACAGTAATTATAGTATATGACCACAATTATGATACCGCTTACCTTTAACAATCCCATATACACTATGAACTCTAGGAACATGAAGAAAGGAAAATAGAGATCTTGTGAATTTGTTCGCGAACTATCGATTATAAATTGACGACCAACAAGTGAGGCTATGAAATAAATATATACTGCCAATGTGACAACCTATTAAGACATAAAAAGTAATTTGATGTTTATAACTAATAAAATGTGCTTTTTAATCTAGAGAAGTGCGATCAGGTGATAAAACATGAACATAGAATAAATGTCAGTGAAAATATGGACGATCACATATCTACATTGTCTATTTACCTGAAATTTACTTCTGCAGTATAGTCTATATCATATATTAACTAATCACAAAAGTGACCGACCTACCAGAAATATATATAAATAATACTAACTTCCTAACCAATCCTCAACTTATTTGAAATTACCAAGTCCAACCTTGGTATTGATACCCACGAAATTGAGGCGCTTAAAATTTATGTTCGTAGTCAAAAAGTTCGCTTATCTGGGTAGCCGTATGAATTTTCGGAGTGGTTGTGCAACAGATGAGAAGTTTAAATTAATCTGGGTAATCTTTGGCCACATGTAAGTTTGTATGTACATCACTTTCGTATTCCATTCTTGTGAAACTTGGCCGTAGACGTTTCGTGGCTTCCTGAGTTTTACTGCTGCTTTTTCTGAATGACTGCTCATACTAATTTATTTGTATTGGTTGTTTGAATCTTCCGATTGATGTTTAGGACTACAATTAACGAGTCTCCTTTGGTACATATACGTTTTTGAAGATTAACCCGATATTCCCATTAAGCTACAAGCATTGTGAGGAAGGTCGGATGGTGGTTAGCAGCGGAATACGTACTAGCTGAGGAAATACAGAAAGTGGTTTTAGACTAGTGTAGCTTATTATACGAATAATGGAACCCTTCTAGAATACCGACGTTGGTGGCTAGAGTGGCGTTCATATTAGACCCTGCCTAAAATGTAAAAGTTAGGATTGTCAGTCTATGGAATGGGGTCATAAAATGAAAGAAAATTACGTTGGATTAAGGTCTGTTGTTACACATACATTCCTTGGATGGAATACCACAAACTGCTCAGATTCGAAGTTAGTCAAGGCCCTGTTGTAATTTGTGTGTTCTTCACAAATGATAAATTGTGTTTTAGGAGAAACGGTATCTATTTCTTATTTAGATGGAATACATAATTATGAACAAAGCTGGTTGTGATAAAATATTTCAGACGTCGGAAAAGTGTAACACTGCAGACATTCGGTAAGTAAACTACAACCATGCCTCCACAGAACACTTATGATTCTCGAAACTTACAAAGTGAAATAGAAATACTATTTATCATACTTTTTTACAAAATGGTTACTGACATAAGTAGAGTGGAAAAAGTATGGTAGTGTTAGAAAAGTGAACGTACAGAAACAACATCAAATGTACCATTTATGCGGTGTGTGATGTTATATGAAAGGGTTTATTAAAAAACCAACCTGTGTGTAAACCAATGGGATGCAAACAAAATCGATCATAAACATATCCAACAGACCCTGACGAAAGTTATTTATTTCCTGATAATTAAAAATAAAGATGTCAACTTTAAAGTTAAAGTAAAACACAAAACTAAGTAAACTGTGGTTTTTATAGCGCATCCACAGACACAACAAATTGGGATTCGTATAGTTAAAGAAAAACAGTTGCAAAATGTTTTTTTATTTGCTGAGTCAAAATGTTTTCTGTTTAGGAATTTCAAAGGAATATCAAAAGAGCGGTGATACACGAGTTTTTAGTCGATGACTAGTGAGTTTTAGCCCAACTTCTTATCGTTTCCAATACAGTTCAGATTTTGGTATGATAACGACAAATTAACCTGAGACAGTTGAGTGGTAGCTTCTAAGCACGGTAAATCAGAGAGTACAATACACCAGACTTTTAGGAATCTGTAGTAATACTATAAAGATTGGATACCTGTAAAAGCTGTTTTCGTTTATTGTATTTTAAGGTAACCAATTTTTTTGAATCAACCTTCAGTTTCCTATTTTTATATTTTGCCTCACCCGTTATCTTCGTACCTCAAAGTAGAGTATGTTGGTTAAAAGTGATACTTTTAAACGATCAATTTGATTTTAAACCATTTGACTATATGTTTGAACGAGAACTTACTTAGGCAACCGAGTACTATCAAAAGCCCTTACACAGTGTGACTCAAAATGTATCCCGTAAATCTATCTAATAAATAGGTTTAACTGAGTTTGAAAACTTACTTGTTTGAGATACTATTAAATTCGTAAATGGAAACCATTAACTATCTCCATTTCGCATACAAATGAGCCAGAAGTAGTGAATTTATTGTGCATAAAGGTTCCATAATAATATAATCACTCATGAGTTTTATTGTTGCTATACTGATTTTGTCCCGACTGTAATTGCTACTTTTAGGTTTGTATACCATATGACCCAGTCGAGCTATATTGTCTAAAATACTTAGGTCCTACTGTAGTAAACGAGAACACAAGTGGGGACAATCCTATGTATATGAACACAAAATTACAGAACATCTTAGTAAAATCTGAGAACCATACAGTAAATACTTTATTTGCAAAATGTCAATCAATCGTCTCAGACTTTATTGTTTTTTCGTTTCCGCACCAATCAACCTTTGTTCTTGTTCTCTTTTTTTTTTATCTTCTTAACCTTCTGCCTCCAGGAATTTTACTCTCGATTGATGATACATACTACTTATATCTGTCAACATCAGTAGCACACACCACACTATCACGTTAGAGAGGTCAGTTATGGGACGGTGAGACTAAAAGCAGTAACTGAAGTCCCGAGGGCAAGGTCGTGCTGCTGACTATACTGGAATGTGACGGTAGTAAGATGTTCGCCTCATATAATCACCCTCTACGCCGATGTTGCTTCGTCATAATAGAAGCAGTAAGAAAAGGTTGGCCGTAGAAACTTCACGCTTTCACAATTTCACTTTCACTGCTGGAGGTTAGGTCTTTTGAAATACGGAGCTAACAATGAAAACTTTTTATAAAAGGCCGTGTGTAAGGTCTACGTGAGATGTTGAAGACCTAAGAACATGATACAAGACAGCACAAGACTTGGATTACGAAAACGGCGGAGAAACATATAGACTAGTGATCGAGGTACTTTATGTTGACTAGGTATTTACAGAGATTTTCCTAAGATTCGCATACTCTATACAAATAAATACTTTCAAGAAATGTGCATAAAAGCCAATTTTTAGGTTTAATGATTTATCCATACACTTTTTGTACATGGAACCTGCTTTAACTGGAAACAACTTACATCAATGATGGACACCAAGGCATGATGATTAGTAATAAAGCCTTCTTTTCCGGCGAGAGTGACGAGGGAAGTAGTCCATACTATTGGAACAAACGGTTGGACATGAATGGGACTAACACTCATAATTATGTCCAACTCTTCTTCTGTAAGTATTCCTAAATGAAGGAACAGAACTCTAATATCGAACAGTTCTCAGACTATATTTTTGGAAAACGATTATATACATTCATAGTTATTTCTTAGTCATTTAAACAATCAGGAAATGCAAAACAGCACTTCTGACACTTTCTTAATCAACAACAATAGTCATATATAGAATAGTGCTTTCCAATGAACTACGGAATCGGAGTAAAAAAAACAGGCTTGAAAACAAAACAACCACCAGGTATATACAACAAATTATTCGACTACATTTAAAAGAAATGGATCACATGTTGCAATTGACGAACGAAAGCAAATTATTTAAATCTAGTTCACGAAGAGTTAGGAGACTAAGCTTGTGAAAACTGAAGAATTTGAGAACTGCATAAATTCGATATTGCTAATTCACAATGGTGGTACACTAATCATGGTACATTGAGGTGATATACACCCTATATCACAATAATTTATGGACTAAAGAACAAATTTAACCACGGTTAGGAGAATTCGAGCATCAAATTTCCGACAAACCAATAATTAGACTGAGAAATGAGGTGTCAGATTATTCACATAAAAATGTTGAATCCCATATGAACTAATGCATTTTTATTTATTTTAAGTGATTTTTTATCTCAATATAATTCCCACCACCAACACAGATCATCTTTGTCTAAAACTCATAAAGCTTGACCCCTTGATAAATCTAAAAGAAAGAAAATCAAAGTTACGATGATAAAATAATTCATCCTACAAGGCTGCTCGTCAGCTCCAAACAGACCACAGTAGATTATTAGCGGAGTATACGGAAAACCTGTTTCTAATTTTTATCGTTTGTAATTTAGGGCTCTTTCAAGCTGTTAATAAACCTCGGAATGAAATTAATAATCGTATTTCACAAATCTTTTTTTACAGTAACTCACTTCTCGACCAATCAGTCAGTTAGACGTAGCATAGAAACCGGTACATTTATCGATCACCTTAGGGTTCGCAATATTAATATGCAATAATACTGTTAACACTATAACTCTCATAAATAAAGCCTAACTCGAAGGCTTAATAACCGCACCTGCTGCGACGAAGAATTCTGGTGTAGGGAAACGCTTCTTGGCAATTAAGTTGAGACGTGTAGAGGTCATTATTAGGCTTGACATCATGTACCGAAAGCACGTTCGTCGCATTAAACGAGCACGCTCAGAGTTTCCAGAAAGATGACCAGAAATTGAGATGGCGAACTTAAGCACCCATGGGATGGTCATGAATAGTCTCCAAAACCTTGTAAAGACGTTATCGATATAGAAACCAAGAATGAAAGAAACTGGGATTAAACCTTGAAAGCTCCTGGTAAATATTATAATATCTTCAAAGGTTCTGGATGTATTTAGATACTTAAAAGAGAAATCAAACCTTTGCCACTCAACCGACAGAGCGAAACGGTATACACAAGTGATTAATGCGTATAAAGTCATGAAAACAATAACATCGATGTAGATCAGTTTGAAAATACATCCTCTCCATCTAGAAAGTAATTTCAAACCATAAGCTTTACTTCAATAGCAATTTGAAAAATACACCTGGACCCCCGGTGAGAACAAGTTGGTTATATTGTACTGTCATTTGAAAGAGCGCTAAGCCTTAAACGTAATCAGTTTCAGTTCGGAAAGAATAGGGGCATATGTGGCCTGCGTCAGTCCTGGTAATGGTGATCTCTCAGTTTATCAAACTTTCTCTTGAAAGCGTACATAAATGGAACTTCAATCACGTGTTGAGGTAGTGAATTCCATTCATCGATGATTCTATGGAACCTCGACTTTAAAGTCGAGGTTCAGCTGACAAGTAATTTGTCCTGAACTCGTGAATTTTTTTTAAGTGTCCTCGTAACTTCTCTATTTTAGAATAAAAGAAAAGCGATGACGTACCATGTGCCATTATTTCATTAAGCGGTTTGTAGCTCCGAATGGTTAAAATGGTTCTGGACGGAATAAACCACTCGACACGAGAAACGTTTTAGGAAACTTCCCTTCCAGCACACGTTAGCACCTACTGTAGACGGGCAACATAGCCTTCTGTTATACATCGCTGATGTTATGGCGAAAATTCGCTACCTCTTCGATACTGGCGCAGAATTAACCTGTCTTCCAGCAAACCAGTTTTCAACTTACAGGCAGAAAACTGAAAAGCGATTGCCATGTATGGTAAGTGATATGTTTATCTTAACGTTGGTTTACGCAAACCCATTTCCTGGATTCTCGTTGTTGCAGATGTTTCTATGTCGCTTATCGGTATAGACCTGCTACATCATAATTTACTAATCGATACGCGCAAACGGGAGTTGGTGGGCGGAAATACTATGTTATCTGTTTGTATGTCTTTCTTTTCTGTTTGTAGACTATCCTCAGTCTTTCTTAAGAACACAATCGACCCGTGTTATCAATGGGTACTCGAAAAGTACTTGAGCTTCACGAAACGCGATTAGAACTACAGTGTGTAACCAGAAATGTTGCACACCACAACATGGTCCCTAAAAGGAACAGCAACGATTGGTGTCCAACTGGTGATAATCGGTGACTGAATACGAAAACCACTCTTGAATGTTAATCGTTGCTGGACATTCACTATTTGACAGCTACTTTAAAAAATACAATTGTTTTTCCGAAAATCGTTCTACTTCCAAATAACAGTAGACGATATCCCTAAAACAGCTATTACCACCCCGTTCAGACTCTACGAACTTTTGTGCATGACTTTGGGCTCAAGAAATGATTCACAAACTTTCAAAAGATTCATCAGTGACGTATTCAGGAGTCTCAAATTTGTACATGCCTATGTAAATGACTGCTGGATTGCAAGTCCGAACAGAGAACCTCATTTACAGCATCTCGAACTTGTTTTCGAACGACTCCCAACATATGGTACTACTGTAAACATTAGGAAATGTCACCGGCTTCCTAGATTTTCTCGGACAAACCACTGATGCTCAATGCATTCGCCTTTTAGAAATCAAAGTTCCGGTCATTCTGGATTACCCAGAACTGACCACAGTCAAACAAGTACGTACGTTTAACGGCCTGGTAAGTTTTTATAGACAGTTTATACGAAATTGCGCGTCCCTCATGAAACCCTTAACCAACCAACTTTGTGGAAATGCAGAAACCATCAATTTGGACGATAACGTCCAAGAGGCATTCTCGCTGTAGCAACTATGCTCACACCCCCGTGGCATAAAACCACCCACTAGTACCGCGGTAGACACGTCTGATTGAGCGATCGGAGGAGTCTTACAACGATGAGTAAACAACAGCCAGCAACCTATATCTTGCTTCTCGAGGCGGTCGATAGACACTGAATCGAGGTACAACACTTTCAGCAGAGAATTCCTAACCATGTATTGTTCTGTAAGGTACTTTCGAAAATCTTTTGGAGGTCGAGAATTCACTCTGATCACCGACCTCAAATCTCACACCTCTCTGAGCTCGTCTCCAAACAAGTACTCCTGTCTAACGTCTCGACAACTGGACTACATTTTGCAGTTTACTTCAGATACGCAACACATTTCCGGGGAGGACATGGTAGTCTCAGAAGCCCTGTCTCATGCAACATCCTCAAACGGTTTCCAAAGAAACCGAACTCCTCAAACGTGCTCAGCCTCAAAAAAAGACACTGATCTTCAGCACCAGTTATCGTCGACTCGACGTCTTCAATACGTTACGCACACTTTCTCATCTAGTTGTTTGAACAACCATCAAGCTCATAGCAGAACGGTCTTGTTGTCCTGATATGAACGAATACATGAGGGAGTTGACGTACTCCTGTGTAAGCTGTCAGTAATCTAAGGTGATTAGACAAAACAAATGTCTTTGGGCTCATTCAAAACTCCAGACGTCCGTTTCGACCATGTTCATCTGGATTTGGTTGGTTCTTACCACAGTCAAATGGATATTCTTACCTCTTAACTTGTGTAAACCGTGTAGAACGATTTTACCGGCAACCTAAAGCTTCACTCTCAGCTGTAAATGTTTCACGACGGATCAAGCTATCTCTCTAAAATTCATATAATTATCACCTTTTACGCATTAAAAGGAGTTTTTGATAACTATTCATATTTATTAGTAGTTTTATGAAGGTAGAGAAAGTCTCCCTGCAACTAAATAAACCGCACTAGACTTACCAAGCTTACTGGAATTCTTCCTTTCCGCGGTAATACTTTTGTTCATTCAGTAAGCCTACTAATGCACATGCAATCGGAAGTCAACTCATACGGCCAGTATGCCAACAAAAACGTTAGCTGACTTTATAGTTTAAACCAGAAATGATATCAAGATCAACATTTCTGTCATATTGATTTTTTCTTATTCCTTAGCTCAAAATACTTATACTGCCATAAGTTAAGCTTTTGCTACGCATCTTACCGCGAAATCATTGTTAATTATTATAATCCCGCTTTGTCTGACTGTGAAATAATTTTCACGTAGACTTTCATTTTAAGCATGTTAAGGATTAAACCGAACATTTCTAAAACCACCACATATATTTCCCTATCAGTTGCTGCTGACTTCTTTTTGATTTATCTTTCAGCTTATCAATACTCGGGGGACTTTTGTCATCCTTTTGCTAACCTCCGGCGCACGACAATGCAACTGGACTCGGTGTCGAACCCACTTCACTTTGATTCTGGTTGGAGAGTAGTGTAGTGGTAGTGGTTCCTAAACACACGGTCTTGAACGCTGAAAACATAATTACCGAAAATACTCTACTTCAACACACATATATTATTATTATTGTTGTTAAGCATATCTTACGTTATCCTAAACCCTAATGCGATATGTTTTGTCGTACCTCAAGACACCCGGGGTTGTCAGTAATTTCACGTTATTTGGCACTTCGTTAGAACGAGCGCTTCAGAAATGCCGGCTTTACGGCTGCATATGAAGTAGCCTATATCTATTATTTAAACTTCAGGTGCATCAACCAATTGATTTTTGTCATCATCTGTGAACGAAAAAGACTTTGAGAAACTGTACGATCTCGCGAAACAAGGTTATTTTCAAGACATCTGGGATAAATTAATAAGGCGTAATCGAAGGAAACAACAGGTATGTACTAATTTAAAGTGATAACTTCCCTACTGCTCTATATTTACAGTCGGCGGTGTTAACGAACATAACCGTAAGTGAAGCTTCAAGTATCTGGATGTGCCAAAGCATGTCATTCAGATGTCGTTGTTGCTTCTTTTATTCTTTACACTTAAGAATTCACAAGAAGATTATTTTAATTCTCAATAGCCGAACAAGCGTGGCTAAAAAACTAATCTGTGGAATGTTTTTTATGTCCAACTTATTTTTCAATAAACATTATTTTGAAAATTAGCTGACCTTCTTGCTTACATGGGAAACTATTTAAGTGTTGAGGCAGTGGGTTTGATTTTCAGTGAACTTGCAATTAAATACACATGCCTTATTAATAATACATCACATGTTTCTTCTTTTGCAGATCTTTTCAAATAACAATGGATCGGCAATTACAATGAAAATGCATAACGACTGATGCTCAAGCGTCTGCTATAACGTTGTATAATAAAACACTTTTCCTTTTCAAAAAACCTATTTAAACATATACCATTTTTCCCGTGTATTGTCGTTTTGGTGTGGCTTGTTGTAGGAATAAAGGCGAAGATAGAAGACCTTTGAGGTTTCAAAAGTTGGAATAAAAGTAGACAGTTCGACGTATATTTAGGCAAAAAAAGAAGATCCGATGTGTATTTAGGCGAAAATTAAACAATTTGGCGTATTTTTAGGTTAAAAATTGACAATGTAAGATCCATTTTGAATGTGTTGTGTGTTGGTGAAAATCCCTCCATGTATATACTTGTACTTTATTCCTATTGATCACATTAGTTGTACATTGTTGTATTTTGATTACATTTGAATTGTTAATATTTGTATTTTTGTTATAGTTTTTGTTTTTATTACGCATTCACTAAGTTTGTGTTTCTTCCTGAACTGCATCTGCGTTGTTTTACTTGACACTTGTTCTTGGCGGTAGCCATATTGGTTTGTTCCTCCTGTTGTGTGTGATCTATCCAGTCAGGATAGAATAACGTTCATTTGTTGTGATTGGTAATTTTTCCTCATCTTCTATCAACTTTTTTATTTATTGTAATTTAGATTTAATTGATTGAACAATCATTGGTTGAATAGCCGGGTGATAATATTTGTTTAGGTAATGATTTACATTAAATTTATTATGAATTATAGAACCGCTATTTACCCGATTACTTGTTCTGATTTCGACGGGAAAGGGCGCGTGTCTAAAGTCACGGAAGGCTGTTCTTCAACATCCAAACCGTAGTTTGGGTCCTACAGACAATTCAGCGAAATTTGAGAGACGGAGCGACAAAAATGGGGAAATCCGCACTTTTTCCCCCGAACAGGTGAAAAAACAGACATTTTGGCGCGTTTCCTCTTTATTTCCTCTTTGTTCGTCTTTATTTCCCCTTTGTTGGTTGATCGGGATAACTGTGTCCTCAGAGCAAGACTCTGAAAAAGAAAAAAAGAGAAACCGAGGAGCAAAGAGGCACTTGGATATGGAATATAAACAATACTTAACATTTTAAAATG